GAAGGGAGAGGCAGAGCGCCGGGCCATCAGGGGAAGAGGGTAGGACCGCAGGAGGCTCCAGGCCCCAAGTCTCACCCAGGATGCTCACCTGCAGGAAGGTGACGAGGCCCAAGGGAGTGCGGACGGGCTGCAGCTGAGCGTCCTCTGTCAGCAGCATGTGCTGGATGCGCGACTCGCTGTTGTCCAGCGGACTGTGCCACGACACGTGGTCTCCGCTGCAGAAGGTGTTCTCTGTGGAAGGAAAGCTGGGGTCAGATGCATCTGCCGGGGCCATGTGAAGGCCGGCGAACCCCTTGCCCTCCCCTCACCAAATTCCCAGAAACCAGTAGAGGGAGGAGGCAGAATTGTGATGTAAACAGCCTCCCCCCCCCCTTAGTTCCTTCTCGGGGAGCCACCTGTGTGCATCCACCAGTGCACCCCCCCCCCCTCCCCCAACCAGGCAGAGCCTTTCGAATCAACTTGGCAAATAAAGTAGGTGAACTTCTGCAGAATAAGAGCCTCTCGATACAATACAGCAAAATCTAATAAAGAAGCAGCCGAAAGCAGCATCCTCTGTCTGCAAAGACTGAGGCAGAGTGTTCAGGCTATAAGGTTATTCAGATGCTGTCCCTTTGTGCGGGCTTTGTGTGTGTGTGTGTGTGTGTGTGTGTGTGTGCGCTTTTGCCTTGATACATGACGGCAGTACCTGACTGGAAGACATATCGCGCTAGGCCTTGCATGAGCTCCGCCGGCCACGTGGGCGGCGCCGTTTCACCCGCCTCCCTCTTCAGCCTGAAGGTGAGCTCAAAACCAAAGCCACTGGGGACCTCTGGGCCCGTGAACCTGTCAAAAAAACAAAACAAAACAAAAAGGAAAAAAACAGGAGCACTGCTTTACTAGGTGATCCAGAGGGAGGAGACAGGCTGTTTGTCCAGATGGCTGGACACCCACCCCATTAGCAATACCTGGCTCTACGGCCCCACAAAGCAGAAACAGGTGTCACTTTTGGGATTCATGGAATTAACAAAAAACAGATGTGGTGCAGATAATATACTAAACAGATGTGGTAAACCTCACAGAATTCAGTTAAACTCCAAAAACAGTGCAAACAGGAACCAAGAGTGAACAGAGCCGTATATCCCAACACAAAGCCTAGCATTACGTGTGACAGCAGACCTCCCCTTGGGGTATTCAGGATGGTGCCAATGTGCTGCGGCTGGGCACTTACTCGTGCACCCGACTGTCCCCATAGAGGTCGCTCAGGCCAAAGCTGACGTAGTGCCAGTGCTCCTGCACCTCCTGGGATGGACTGCCCATGTTGCGGTACATGCTGATGTAATCCAGGGGGTCTGGCCCCCCAAGCCTGTGGAACGACGCAGAAGGCAATCAGCAGAATAACAAAGAATGTGTCTTCATACAGGAGCCTAATTTCCACCCAAAATACAACATAATGTGACTTACCATCTGATTCACAAAATAACACACCACTTAGACTGAGGACCTCAGTAAACACCAGGTCCAGAGCTACCCCCCCCCCCCCCAACTACTGACAAGAACTATTAGTAACATTTCAGAATCATTATTATTATTAAATTGGAAAAATCTGGAGAAAATATAATTAATGCTGAAGAAAGTTCTTGTTTAGTGAACTGTGTGGGCAGGTGTGGATAGCCATGATAACTCTGCATTTGTGTGGCTTTTGTGTTTATGGTCAGAGTCATAATAACTGCATTTGTGTGGCTTTTGTCTTTATGATTAGTGTCACCGGTTCAAGTCTTGACCTAAACAGAATAGTTACGTCTCCTAACGGTCCAAGGGTGCTGGAAAATTGGCCTGACCCTGTGATTGGATCCCAAGCTTCAACCTCAATTCTATATATAGGGGAAACATATGAGCGCGTGTGTGTGTCTGTACCTCAGAATGTACCTAAACATTCTCAGCTGTTACCAAACAGGATACTGAACTTTGCCGCGGAGAAGCTGCCAATCACAGCGGGAGGTGATGGAGTACTGGGCTTGTGATTGGCTGTCAGTCAGTCACACGGCCTGGTGTCTCCTTAAAGGCAGACCTGCAGCCATACCTAGCGTGTGTGTTGTTTCTGTCTGATGCACTGTGATATAAGTAAGTAGAACATTACTACGCGGTCCTGGTCAACCAGAGACCCCCCTACATCTGTGTGTGTGTGTGTGTGTGTGTGAGCGCGCGCACGCACCACAAAGGGGAAACTGACGCACTTATTTTCTCCTATCAGCTTTTATCGAAAGTGGGAATGGTGCGGGGTAAATGGGTGTCCTGCTTAACGGGGTCATATCCATGGTGGAGCCCCGAAGACATGTGCGAACCGATCAGCACACTTACGCGGTGGCTGCAGGGACCAAGTTTGCCTTCAATTCAGTCGGCTTCCATGATACTGGGACCTCCACTTGTCCGAATCCGCAACTTCACCGAACTCTTTGAGAGTTAGCCGGCTAATTTACCACGTTTAAAGTATGAATTTAAAGTATAGTTCCGTTAGCACTTCGTTCCTAAATGTAGACCTGTTTTGGTAACGGAACGGTTGAAAATCTTATAAAAGCTTTTGTACGCCCCAACTAGCAAAACTACTACATTTCCGATTACCATAAAAGGCTGAGTCCCTGACAGGCCAAAGAGCGCCTCACTCACCAGTATTTAACGATGGCAGTCACTTGCAGGGGGTTTGGTTGGTCGGGGTACAAGCGTCTGCACTCCCCGTAAATAGCTTGCAGACCCGGTGGAAACATCGAAGCCACCCCGTGGCTTGCAGACCCGCTGCTAGGCCGCAGTTCATCCATTTCCTGTGGTGTTCCAAACGGGTGAAAGACCGCCAGAATGGTAACTAATTGCTTTTTAGCTTTGTTTAGCACGCGTCTCTGTATCGGAATTCAATACTAATGAAATGTTTCTTGTTTTGTATTATTACTAAGAAGGCACGTAGCTCCCGTTCAAGGACCAACAGCTTGTTGCTTCCCCCAACAGTATTGGCACATTCTTGACGGACACATGCTCTACTCGAATCAGAGTAAGGGGTGGGTGGGTACGAAGCTCTGTGCAAACTTCCTATTGGGTGCCTCTGAATTCAGTCAATGTACAGTGCGCGTAGATGTAAGTTATTTGTAAACGAAATCTGAAAAATTATATTATTTTAAAATTATAGTATTTCTGCTTATCTGTCTATCCTGCTCGACCCCTTCTGTACTTTCCCCCCACATTACTTTTTTTTTATTAAAAAAGAAAAGGTATGCATTTAAACAGGAGTATGACTGAGAAAATAATGTCAAGCTACAATCACCAGCACCATGAAACATCTAATATGGAAACTGTATGATGGGTAGGAGACGAAAGACAAGCAATCCGAGTTGAAAGCGGGGGAGAACATTGTACATATGAGAATACAAGTTACTGAACAAATATTTTAATTTATTTAACAAACCCATTTGTCCAAAGCAACGTACGAGTGAGGCAAGTATAGAACACTACAAATATGTATTTTCTTCAGTGGAAGTCGTCCTCTCTGTCGGCAGATTAGCTTGCTCACTGGCATTTTCATAAAAGATTTATAGCGATGCGTAGAGAATCTGCGTTCTAAAAATCGCTTTGTAGCAACCCCAACATTTAGGCTATGATATCAGGCATTGTTAGATTTGATTTTGTAGCCCATGGGGTAAATGCTTACAGAAATCACACCAAAGCAAATCTGCGCATAAATCTTTCATCACCATTGTACTCCTGCTGTTTTAGGAGCATGCTGAGACCTTGCTTACGACTTCGTACATATACAAGCTCATGAGTAAGCGTTGCTCAGATGTGATATGAGCAACCCTAATAAATTAAACTAAGAATTTCCTAGAGAAATGGTTGCAAGATTGTCTTCTTTACTGATCACAGGAGGGAGGAATTTTTAAAGATTTTTTAAATACTTGTAATGTTAATAATAGGTGACAAATACGATTTAAGTTAAAAGTAACAGGGATAGTTTTTTTAGAAACCAAAACACTGATGTTGCATAACGACACACACCAATCTGTCCACCATTCCAAACCCCTATTATACTACAAGGTTGCATTGATACTGGTGCCTGTTCCAGTGTAATGTGTTCCACGAGACGGGATTTCTCCGTTAGCTGGGTTAACTTAAGCTCGAAGTTAAGATTGTGCTATAGGAATGATCCTTCCTTAAACTCTTATTGGACAATAATTACTTCTAGTTTAAGTTAACCCAGCTAACTGACAAATTATGCTTCGTGGAGCACCTCCCATAAATCGCAGGACGCAAGGCAGGGGATATGTTGGATGAGATGGCAGGCCATTGCGGAGCATACACACAAAGGTGCGAAAAACGACTAATTAAACCCGAAACAACGAGAAGTGTGAGTCTGCCACACTCATTTAAATGTCAGTGCATTAAACAAAAGCAAAACAACGAGAGGAGTGTGGGGAGTACTAGAGGAGAATCACTTCATCACATGGGGCTTGAATTATCTTTACAATTGCAGGTTTCAATATTGTTTAAAATATAGAAATGCTTATTTGTGCCATCCTCTCGACATACTTTTACTTTCTCGCTTTAATCCTTATTCCGGTTAAAAAAAGAAAGAAAACTATAATAGACATGCAAATATACTGCAAAATGGGGGGGGGGAATCTTGTTAGGGACACTATATTTATACTTTGTTTCTTCCTTGATGTTATTGCGTAAGCTTTACAATAGGTAATACTTAACGAATAAATCTAGGACAACTGCTCCACAGCCCCGAAGGAAGGAAACTGGGGCTGAGCTTTTCCGGTTTGCACCCGAGCGCCGCCGCGAGTGGTGGAAAAGCCCGCCTACAGGCGCTTCCAGTCAGATGTACCGCGGACGTACCGGGTGATTTCGGCGCTTGGTTTCGATTTCGAAAAGTGATGGAAAGAGCGGTATCTAACGAGTCCTTGATTGTTAAACGTATGACCATTGGAACAGGAAAAAGGTAAGGCGTATTTGTCAACCTCTAACGACAGATAGTAGCGGCAACTAGTAAGCTGTTTAGTTAAATAACCGAAATAACGAACCCGCCCACTTTTAATGGTGACTTCAGAATAGTATCTTAAAATAAGCTTAGGCGACTCCTTAGCTGTACGTGAGGTGAATACATTGTTGTTATGGTCGGACGCCGTAACACGCTTTGTTTTGGTGGGTGACACCGAGCGAACAGGAAACACTTCCGGGAGACGGGTGGCCGGCGTTTAGAGGAGAGGGCTAGCAGCCGCCTCGGTGCTGCTGTACGAGCCGCCAGTTTGGGTGGAGCAGGACCGTGACTTGCTGGTCGCTTTCACGAAAAGGCCTAGAAGTCACCGTGTTTGTCACCAACCTGGCAGAAGCGGTTCGCGGAGGGGTTGCTCCTAAATACGTATGCTGTTTGGGTCTGACATAAATGTATTATTACTATTACGGTTATTTACATTTATGTATGAGCTAAAATTTTGTGCGCTGGGAGGAGCCGAAACAACCAAAATGTGCTTACAGCACATTTTCTTGACAGACTCTTAACGCGTGTGTGTCCTGTTTGTAAAAACTGTAAAAATGTAATTGCAAGGCATTGCATAAAAACTTAGTTTAGAATTTTTTGGCTTTGCTGGCAGTCTAGTGTAAGTAATACTTTGGAGGACATTAAAGGCAAATGTATCTGCCCCCCTAATCGAACATCAGTCTGCCTTCCCGAGCTGAAATGGTCTAGGACAGGGGTGGGCAGTGTGTCTGCAGTTTTTAGGGATGCTACAACCCATACATGTGTGAGGAGTCTTCAGCCAAATATTCCTCTAATTAGTTATCTAATTAGGGAGTTGTAGTGAAAACCCATATATGCAACGACTCTTTCTGGATAATATTGGTCCAGAACCTCCATTGCAACTTGGCTCTTTGCCCCGATTATAAAGGAGGGCAGATATCGCCCTGTAGGGGTTTCCTGCTTGCACGATAAACCCCAAAACCGTACAAAGTTATTGAGGAAGCTTTTAGGAGCTCATTTTTTGTTAAGTGATATCTGCTTCTTTGTTGCACACCATGTTGGTTCTGCTTTTACAGGTGTTGCATTCTAAATCGTACTTAAGACACAGTAACTCTTCAAAGGTCCGGATGCATCAGTGTACTTTTTATCATATGCCTGTGTAACAGCATCCCCATAGGCGTGACACCATTTGAAATGTGTGTGTTGACTTGGGCAATGGGGGAGCTGCTTCACTATGCAGGCCTGTTCCCCCAGTACATGGCTCTGACTACACGCGACCCAGTGCCCCAGTCCCCTATGGCACACATGACCCAGCAGGGCACCACGCCTGGCAAGGGCACAGCTATGAGCAGCCTGAGACAGCACTTCGAAGTCTTGGGTGAGCCCCTGTCCCATGTCTGTCGGGGCTTACCTACACCCCTGGGGGGCCTACTGCTGAACATTGCTTCTGCTTCGCTTAGCCTATGTCAGTTATGTGCGTGTGCCTGCTCACGATCCCCTGACTGATACCTGCTGCTGGCTGATCTGCTGTCCTGAAACTCCAAAAGAATGAAAAGCCTTTTTGTTCTCTTTTGGTTGGACAGTTATGGCTTGTGTTTATTTGGTTGTGTTGTTACCCTGCAGTGAGAGACTTCATCCCTTTGGGCGGCCCACGGCATGCGGGAGTGGATGACAAGCGCTCTCGCCATTCCAAGCCAGGTGTCCGGTTTCTGGAGCCCCCCCAGAAGACAAACCAGACCCAAAGAAGTGCCAATTCACTCTCAAGACAAGCCTTGGTCTTGGAGAAACCCGAGATGAAGATGCAGGTACCTTCCGTCCTGTTGAAGAGGATCCCGAATTCCTCCTCCGCCAGCTTGGCTGCCACAGGATCTGCATCTCTCCATGCTGGTGCAGTCCACAGAGAGTGGGACCCTGGCTACAGATCCAATCAAGTGAGGAGCAGAAGCCTGGAGGTAATGACTTCTGTTCATATTGTCTGTTAGTGACGCATCTTTTTTAGGAGCGAACATGCAGTTAGCCTGTGTACTTCACATTGTGACTCTGAAGGTTTTGTTGTGCTACTTGGAACTTCTCTGTGTACCGCCTGGCTTGTGTAAATTCACCAAATTATGTTTGTGTGTAGGATATATGTAGATACAGAAAATTGCGCATTGAAGACAGATTAAGTTTGAAGTGCACCTAGAACATAATGGAGTTAAATGCTTGCATTCTTTTAGATACTTTCCATGTTTCTGTCAGTACTAGTTGCTCAGTCAATCAAAAGCCAGTACATACAGCTCAGGGGCAGAGGGGTGAAACCCCACCAGGCACCACACCGCTTTCCCCATGGTGACCATAACAACATGTAAACCCCCCTTTGCGGCCCCTGTGTTTCAGGGAGCTACTCCTGGCTGCAGCACCCAGGTTCCTTCTAGCCCGAGGATACACTCAGGCTTGCCAGCCCTGCTCCCCCGGTCATCGGAGACTCCACACCAGCCTGAGAATGAGAGTCCAAAGCAGACCCACGACTCCCAGATTAGACATGTATGCCATCTTTAGTTGTGTTGTCTCCATAGTGTTACTATGCATATAAGTTTCTGAACAGTGTTGTGGGCCCTGGGGCCAGTTTAAACTGTGTAGAATGTTCCTGACTGTTCTTCCTCTCTCCAAAGGGAGGGGCATCAGCAGAGCAAAGCCCACGAATGAGTGTCCCCATTAATGCCGCAGGTAAGATGAAATGTCTCATTCATCACCTGCTGAAAATGCCACACCTGCTGTACTTTGGGCAACTTGAATTCTTTGGCAAAGTGCAAAAATTATGAAGGTTTCCCATTTTTGCTTAATGTGCAAAGTAGTAAGCTGGTTATCTGGAACATGATTTCTTGTTACTCAATTCCTATTCATTCCAGTAGGTGGCAGTGCAGCTGTATGTCCTTCCTCCTCGGTCAAGAGGAAGGCAGGGCCTGCTGTGGAGGGGATGTGGCAGGGGAAGAGGGCCTATTCAGGGACCCTGGGCTCAGACATTACTGGGCTCAGGCCTACCAGAGACCTGGGCCTGAACAAAGAGGAGAATAGCCCAGGCGTCAAGGTGTTGCAACCCGATAAGCCAGCTACACCACTGTGCTCCCAACAAGCTCAGAACACCAGGGAGGCTAAGCTGGGTGAGCCAGCTCAAGCAATCAGTCAAACCCAGATGGAGGCATCCAGAGTACACCAGACGTGGTCATCCACATCGGGCCACAGAAAGCTGGAGAGCAATCAGACCAAAGGCCAGCCTGTCGGGAAGCCCCCCTGGAGGCAGCCTGTGGGGCACGGTATGGACAGCAACCAGAGGCTTGTCTCGGCAACGACACCTCCTCCTACTGACCAGAGTGACACTACTACTGAGACTTGTGACCCTATATCTGAGACTGCCCTGAAAGCTTTACCTGACTCCCCTGTCAAGCCAAAAAGCAATACCAGTTCCAGCAGGAGTGTGGCAGCCCCTTGTGTTCCAGACAGGTGGGATCCCCTGGACCTCGAGCTGGAGTTGGACTTGGGCCTTGGGGCCTGTCAGCTCAGCAGCAGCAGCGAGAGTGAGGATGAGCCCCTGCTTTCCTTGCAGCAGATCCTGGAGCGCAGCGCTCAGCCCCCCACCACGCCACAGAAGGGCACCTTCTCTGAGCCTGGAACGCCCCAGACTAAAGCACTGGTAGGCATCTCCCAGCAGATCCAACCCTGAGCTACATGGATCTTTAAGATTCATGCAGTGTTCTGTATATTACATCTGAGAACTTGTATCAAAATGGGTGGGTAGTGAGTGTTGTGGTTTTTCCTTTCCCGCCAAATCAGAAGTTAGAAGCCGCTTGTGTAAATCCAAATTCAGTCTTTATTGCAACAATGAGGTTACAACCAAGACCGGCCAGACTTGCAAGTGTGTCGAATACTTTTTTACACTAATTTTTATACATTTTCCTATCGTTTAACAATATCTCGTCACTTAAACATCATCATTCCTTCAACCATTCACAATACTTGGTTTCTCCCTTGATCCACACCCCTAGGTAATAAGCTTGTCAATCATTTCTTTTACTGTTTGGTCCCTCGGCCGAACATAATTGTGGCACGGCTGTCTCTACTTGGTTTTTTGAAAAGACTCAGCTGTGAATATTTGGTGAACTCGGGTGAATCCCTTCCCTTCAGTAGGAAACCTTGGCAGCTTCAGCTTGTTGCACATTGTTTAATAGAGGGTTGATAAAATATTTGTCCTGCAACATAGTGATAAGATATAACACTAATAAAGGTGGATATTCATACATTCAGGGGTAACATAAAGTAGCTAACAGAATCAGAAACATAAAGTAGCTAACATAAGGTGCAAATACATACTCAGTTGATTACATTGTTTTGATTACATCATAAGTATTTGGCATGCTTTTTAATGATATGGTAATGGTTATGTTCTATGTTCCATATAAGCAGATGAGTGGCTTTGATCTGACAATGTTTCATCTATATAGCTGCCACCAATGAAAAACAGTCAGCTGGGACCCTACAGGAACACCCTGGAAACGATGCTGAAGGAGAAGGAGCACAATGCCAGGTGGCCGCGCTTGTGCCGCACTGCCTCTGCTTTTTTTGTATTTGTCGTTAGTCGTCATATTAACGGGCACTCCTACCGGGCAGGCTGAAGGACATCGAGATGAAGGTGCTTCTGTCCTGTAAGGAGAACCTGCAGAAGTTAGAGGAGCAGAGTGAGGAGGTCACTGAGGAGGCTGTCAGTCAGGAGCACCGGTACCCCACCACCCACAGCCCATGTTGTGGCTGGAAGTGCCTACCTGTGTGTGTGTGTGTGTGTGTGTGTGTGTGTGTGAGAGAGTTTGTGTGTGTGTGTGTGTGTGTGAGAGAGAGAGAGAGAATGAAATGCAGCTGGCACACATGGAGTTCACTGTTCTGCCCTCCCCAGGGATTTCCTGCAGAGGTTTTACCTGGTCTCCAGTGCCATCCCAGATCTGCACCCGGGGGAGGAGATCTTCATGTTGGCCAACTTTGGGCGCCTGTTCAGTCTGCAGAACCTGGACCTCCGAAGATGTGCGGTGACCCCACAGAACGTGGTTCAGAAAACCCTCTTACAGTAAGGCGACAGTAATGGCTGCCCATGTGCAGTAGTCGATGTGGTAGCACCTCACTTTTCCTGGGGTGCAGGAATGCTGGTGTTCTCTAGGGTGGAAGGCACACTGGTTATGTCCTCTGAGATTCTCTGTCTTTGTGCAGGGCTGATGCTGAGAAGCTCCCCCTGCTGGTGAGTGCAGGATTGCTGCTGAAGGCATACCGCTCAGTGCCCTGTCCTCCTGCGGTGTCCTTCCTGCTCTTCCAGGTATGTCTGTCCTCTCTGAAGGAAAAATAAAAATTGGTGTAAACTGTAGAGGTTTGACCAATGTTATTGTAGTTGTGTGTCAATATATTATTACTATTTCACATCTTTCCCACATCTGGGAGAGTTGGTGTGGAGAAGCCTCAAAGGGACTTACCACCCGGACTGTTACATACAGAAAGTGCAGCATGGGGGTGGATCACTGATCGTTTGGTCTGCAATGTCATGGCATTCCATTGGCCTGTTACTTGTTTTAGATGGGCCCGTCACTACTGGGACTACCGAACCATTCTGAAGAACCTGTTTACCCAGTGATTTAAACATTGTAACTTGAAGGTGGTGCTGTGTATCAGAATATTGCACCAATTCACACAGCAAGATTTGGTGACAGTGGTTTGATGAACATGAAAGTGAAGTTGAACATCTCTCATGGCCTGCATGGTCACCAGATCTGAAAATTATCAAACCACTTCGGAGTGTTTTGGAGAGTAGTGTCAGGAAACGTTTGTGTGCGTGTGTGTGAGAGAGAGAGATAAATGTTAGTTTTTCATTAACCCTGGTTTTAATTCATGTATATTAATTAGCATTTTACTGTCATGGCTAGGATAGGCAGTTGGGAGATGGATAGACAGATGACTGGACATACTTGATGATATATGATGTCTCATTTAAAAGAGAATATGTTAACTTTTTTTCTTTGTTAACCAATTGCTTTGTGTTTACTATGTCACAGATGATGTCCATCCATCCAGACAGAAAAACTTCCACACAGATTCTTCGGTCCATGAAGCATATTGCCATAATGGCTGCAGAACAGATTGGTAGGTCCTGCTTCTGACAAGCTGCTTCTCTTTGTGTAACTCTGTTCCAGACCAGCAGGTTGTGATGGCCGGGGGGTTAAATGTGTCTGTCTCTTGTCTCTAGTGGAGAACAAAAACAGGGAATTTCAGGTGTGGACTCCCAGCCTGAGGGAGGTGGCCCTTATCTTCCTCAATATGGGGGTGCCATTCATCACCCTCTTCACCCTACAGTCTCTACAGCCCCCTTTCTCAGAGGGTGACCTTTTGTGAGTATAACCCCCCCCCCCCGGTGATGTTTGTATGAATAACATTAGCACTCAGTTGGTCCATAATCTCAATTTTTATTTTGGTTGTTTGATCTCCAGGCAGAGTGAACTGATCCAGACTGAGCATGTTCAGGATACAAAGCCGGTGACCTTCCCAGAACATAACGTGGAGAACGTCATTAAGGTGTGCTGTAGGGGGAGGCTTCACTGAATGCTTGCTACTAGTTCCCATGAGCTGTGGGTGTTTGGACTGACATCAATCTAAATGTGTGGGTGGGGGCAGTACCTGGCATTGAGCACCTCACTGGCCTCCAAGGCCTACAGCGATGATGAGCTCTTCCTGCTGCTGACCGCCACCTGCAAGCTCAGTCTGGAGACCCGGCTGCAGCTCCTGACCACGGAGGACCTGAGGTTCCTGCTGGAGATGCTGCTGGACAACAGCAGAGACTGGGATACACAGGTGAGCCTTTGACAGGCTTTCCGCTATGATACAGTGTTGTCCAGTGAAACTACTTGCTCCGGGCCAGGCCTGTCAACTGGAGACAAAGGCCCTCTCTGGGTGACCTATGGTCCCTGACTGGAGAGGGTCTTAGACTTCATTGTGGTCTTGGTTCTCCAGCTGCCACGTATCTGCCTGGCCTTGGCTGACCTGTCGGACGACCACCACAACCTCCGGAGATTGGTTCATCTGCTCCCGCACACCAAGAGAGGGAAGTAAGTTGACCAATACTTTCTGTTGTAGTGACTTTGGCTTATTGTTAATAGAAACCAGTAAAATGCTTGCTGGGAATCAGGCAGCAGTGAGAGCCTAGTTTCTGTCACCATTGGTTTGCCTGTTTTATGTTGAATGTTCCATTTTAGAATTTCTCTGTCTTCCATAGGCAACTCAGGAGGCATGTCAGTGTGACCATTATCTCCAAACTGTTAGACCACAGATTCTCCTATAAACCCACCAACTCTGACTTTCAGGTAACACTGTCTGTCACCTTTAAAACTGGTAGCCTTGTAGTCCCAGCACAGATCCTGCTGTTGTACTCTTAAACAAATGCCTGAAATGTCTTGTTGTATATACATGGGATTAGGGCTGTCGTGATCACATCGCAATGTAATTTAATCCTAATTGTATGGTGCCTGCACAATCCTCACCTGGACCTTATATGATGGGTGAAACATTTGTCCAGATGCTGGCTCTTCGGTATCATACGGACGTTTACTTACTTCCAGAATCTGGTATGCAGATGAATAGTGTGCCTAAGATATTAATGTGATGCATCTTTGTGACACCCAAAAGTCAGTAGTCTGTATAAATTCAGCATATCCTTATGTTTATTACATTCAGTTAGCACAGCACACCACATGCTGCTGTTTTTAATAAATCACGGGAGCGATAAGCACTGAAATGGTGGTGAGGAAAGGGACAGCTCAGCAGCCACAGCGTGTTAAAAGCGGAGATATTAGGTAAAAAGATAAAAAGATGTTGGTGTGGGGGAACTTTTTGCAGTTTGAAGTCTGACACGTTTATTAAATGTAAGGATATGCTGAATTTATACAGATCACTAACTTTTGGGTGTCACAAATGTTTCACCATTTAAAGCCCTATCATCTAAAGCCCTGGTGATGTTTGTGCATGTGCCATATACAGACGCCCCTCTACTTACGAACTTTCAGACATACAAACGAAGAGGACTGTAAGTCCAAATTGTGTTCATTGGGCTCCCGTTTCCTGTCCGCAACATCAATTTTTTTTTCTGCACGCCAATCCCGCCTAGCACGACTTCTGGCTGCTACTCCCACCACACAGCAGCGTAGCGTGTGTACTCCCAGCATCCTAGTTCTCAGTACTTGCATATACCTTTAAAATGATGTGGAATAACGACTTACGAACATTTCAAGTTACGAACAGCCGTTTTGAACGTATCTCGTTCGTAAGTAGAGGAGCGTCTGTAATCGCGATTGCGACAGCCTGACATGGCATGACAGGAAGCAGCTGGTATGAACGTAAGTAATAGTCTGTTGTCGGTGCCCGGGCTTTGTGCCTTGAGCCAGCCTGTGTAACTGGCTCCCATGTCCTGCCCCCAGCTGGCAGTGTTGCGGCCGTTCATCCCCCACATGCGCCCCTCACTGCTGCTCAAAGTCCAGTTCCCTGTGAGGGAGGGCCAGGCCCCGGAGGATGGAGTCACTTCCCAAGACCAGCAGGTGAACCCAGGGTCCCCCTCAGCTGTCACTTTACTGCAGAGTCTGTCATGCTTTTCATGACACCATCTTTAAAATTTTTTATATATTTTTTTTTTGTTCCAGGCTTATTACCTCTGCTACAGCCTCCTGATTCTAATTAACGAAGCATCAAATTTTGAGTCTCTTCCCTTGGGCCAAAAGGTAATTGAAGAAATTACTGGTTATTACCAGAATATGCTAAAATGAGAATGAAGTATCACTCTGGGGAATGGAAGTCCAGTTATGGTGAACACTTCTCCAAAACTACATGTTAAGTGGCCCTTTGCCTTCCGCCCCAAATACGGTCGTGTGAGTCTCTGCTCTCACACATGCTGCCCCCTCCTGTTCCAGAAACACCTCCATATACTCAGTGCGGAGCTGGAGAAGCACATCAAGTGTGACATCAGGGAGACTGAGAAGTGTCTGTACAGGAGTAAGGTATGCCCCCCTCTGGGCCGGGGCCTGTATCTGTCTGTCTGTCTATCCCCCCCCCCCCCCCCCCAGAATACAGCAATCTAAGCGTAAAGGACAGAGGTGTCTGCATTCAGGACAAATGCAATACCTAGTACCATACTGTAACCTTGATGTCTGTCCTGCAGGTGAAGGACTTTGTGGCGAGGATCTACACTAGATGGCAAATTCTCCTTCAGAAGTCTGGGCCTTCTGAGGTACTAGCTTCTCTGCTAGACTAAGGCAAAGCTCTGCTTGTAAACGTTACTAATGAAAAGCTTTAGCTTTTTAACACTTTTTTTTTTTTTGGAACTCTCCAGGGTTTGCTGTATGACTACTGGCAGCCCTTGCCTGAGGATGCTGGGTCCGACAGTCAGCAAAGCCAGTCAAATACTTGTCAGGATGCAACCATTTGCACAGATGTGCCCGAGCCTGACCGCAGTTCCTCAAGTCCTTCTCAGTTAGCGGCTTTACTTCCTGACGACGGTCACACTCTGAGTATGTTATTTACATATATTAAGTGAACTAACAATCCATTCAGATATTTAAATAAGCTGGTATTATACTTTGTCAACATAAATCTCTCTTTGGTACTTATCCTGCATTGGATTATCTCTCGGAACTCGGAAATTCCGAGGTGAGTGACATCACAGCCGATAATCTCCCGTTCGAGCTACCACATCTCGGAACAGACATGGCTGCCTCCATGAACACGCTGCTGTGTGTTGTTGCTTTATATTTTAGCAGATTTGGAGTGAGAATTTTTTCCGAGAAACAAACAAGAAACACAAACTAGTCAAACCACATTAAAAGTTTTATAAAATATTTTAGTACATTCATAGCGATATTCTTTTTTTGAGAGGCAAACAAACAAAAGACACTAATAAGTCTGGTAAAAATCTGATATTGCATGCTATGGTATTCTCTAAATCGAACACGTGCAATTACATTTATAACTATTAATACATTTTACAGAATAAACATAAATATAAAATAGAATTACTGTTGACTGTGTAAGCGCCATGTTGAAATGACGACACAGGGGCAACTTGGACAACAAAATTCTGTCCGACATCAACGTCATAAAAGGTGTGTTTCCAACTGGAAGTGACTTTTTTGTGATGTTTTGTGACGTTTTCATCCGAGTTCCGAATCAGAGAGAAATAATCGAACGCAGGATTAGGCCTCAAGGCCTGGTTAATTGATACCTGATCACCTTGTCAACAGATGGACTGTTTTTGAACTGTTGATCTTTGGGCTTCAAAGCATTGAAACCCTATTTCAAGGGGTGGAACTTGAAAAATTTTCCTGCAAGCCTACTGGGCTAGTATAGTAAAAAATGTATTACAGCTAGGGCTGGGCAATATAAATGTCAGCTTAACCTTAATTTAAATAAGAAAATGAGAAATGATAAACTGTCAATAAGGAACATTCTTTGATAGCACACATCAGCCTCTTGCATTACAGAAGCTACAGTAGTTCCAGTAAGTCATGGTACTCTCTTTAAAAATTGGCAAACCTATGTTCAACAAATGCACAGCAGTGTTGATTGAGTTAGTGGCGCACGCCACATGTTCCTGTTTTGGTAATATGGAAGAGAAGCGCTCCCTCAGAGGAAACTGAAGAAAGTGTCAGCTCAACATCCACAGAATTAAAAAAATAAATAAACCAGGTAGAGAGACATTGTCTGACCTGCAACAGAGTAGTTCTGTGCACTGTGAATTGAAAAATGAAAACTTGTGCCAACTAAATCAGCAAGCATTACGCCACTTGAAGCTTTGCCATCCTGTCGATCATACGGAATGCAAGTGCTTAGTCACAGCAGTTAGGGTTTCCACTCTCAATCTGAAGAGATTCAGGACAAACAGTGTCCCATGCTGGTTTTAAAATGGAACACGGAATTTTACTTTTCATTACGTGATGGTTGACAACTTCACCAGCAGGCTTGCAGATTTGGATGTGAGCATTAGGGACGTCTCTCTACTAATATTGTGAGACTACCACGCATGTTACAAGCAACCAAAGGCCATCGCATCTTACAGTAATACATTTTTTCAGTATATCAATTATTACGTTTAAGTTTACTCATTCACAGTATGTCATTTATTTTTTTATTTTCATTTGTAGCCCTGTCTATGTCACTAGTAACTTTATGGCTATTTTTGTTTCAGATTCTACTGCTGGTGGCAGCTAAACGCTGTGTGTCCAGACCAGTGCGACTTGTCGTCCCAGACCCTGCGGCTTGGACACGTAGCCCTTCTGTGTGTGGAGTAGCAGCTCCCTTGTATCTTTGCACACATGGCCGCTTTGGACTGGTCGGTAATGGGGGGTGGGAGGGCGAATGCAGCCTCCAGTTCGCCACAGCACCTCTGAGAACACTTCACGCCATTTTCACTACTGCTCATTTCCGGAGGTATTCAGAGCTAACCATAAATGAACTGTCATGTTTTTAAGTTAAGGTTTTCTCAGTGTTGAACAGTAACATTTTGTTTAATAAATATACAGACAGGTTTTCAGGTATTTTACTTCAGACTGTTAGTAAAGGCACAATGCTTTGGTCATTTGTTTTGTCTATGCCATGCAGCCCTACACAAAACCATGGAGTACTTTAGTATGGTCGTTCTTTCTGTCGTCCCTTGAGCAAGTTTGGTCTTTAGCTCAGATCTGTTCCATGCCTCTCACCTTGGTTTTGGTTATGGCTCATGTACTGCTGTGAGATGTTCAGTATTTTGTGTTCAGACTGATACCTGCCTTATTTTAATTATATTAGAAAACACCGATAAAGTGTGTATCAAATGTGGCAAACGTGAGCTGTGGACGTCATGCCGACAGACTCTGCTGTGGTGAGTGGGTGATCTTGTGCGGCGCACTGCACGTATGAAAGGCCGGCACTCTAAGCATATGCAGCTGTATCCTGCCATCTGTGCGGAGGGGCCCATAAGATGGGTCCCTGAACACAGTCCTGCCTCGGAGAAGCCAAGAGGCTGTAAAACAGCCTTACAGAGGCTTGCCCAGACTTCTGGACTCTCCTTACTCTTCTGCTGATAAGTCATGTCCTGGATCTCGGCGGAGCCCCATGCTGTAACTGACGACAGTGCTGCATCTTGTGCTAAGTGATGTGCTACTTGTATGGGATGCCACCCAATTCCTGCCAGGCTGCAAGTTAAATGAAACACAACAGGCAAATTTTGTATTTTACTGCAATATACTTATTGTAATAACCACAAACAATGTTTAAAAACCAATTGTAAAAATGTGATTCATTAAATCATTCGGTGTGTCTTTTTCCTCTCGATTTAAAAAGGTTCCTCTGTTGGAGACTGGGAATACTTGTGCATGTAGATAGCTGTATCACTGGATCTATTAGTCATCTCCAATCCTGGATGTGAACCCAACGTCGTCTGGCTCAGGTGCCCATTTATTCAGAGAAGCCATGACATTTGCAGATAATGACTGTAGTACAGTAGAAGGACAGTAGGCATGGTGGATCCCTTTATAGCCTCTGCGATTATCCATGATATGTTGTTTCTTCTTGCCCCAGGCTGGTGAAGCCATAAGCCTAATTGGCTTTGAATCCCCTAGATCGACTCCAGATCGTGGCGGTATGAGTTTTGTGCAAGGCTATGCTAACTTTACATCCGCATATCTGACATAGAGGGGATTCCCTCGCACTCAGTGAATGTGAGCCGTGCCCCATAGATCTCAGCAGTGTACCCCATTCAGTGGGAGCTGGGGGTTGCTGAGTGTTTCCACTTGCCTGTCTTGGGTTATGTTTCAGTCGAAAACCAAAACAAAGGCTCAAGTGAAGCATGTCTCTCGCTGGCACCTCCCATGCTGTCTGTGTGACAGCAGCGCATCATTCCTGGTCTTTCACCAAACTCCCAGTCAAGCAGCAAGTGATTCCCTGCATCGGTCACACAGCGGCATCTTCCTGCTGCGGCTCTGGGCGTCTGTGGCCCTTGGGCACTTTAAGCACAAACACCATGGGGTCTGTGGCTTTGTTGCTGAAGGCCTTGCGGATGATGTCCACAGCCTGCTGGTGCGTGACTCCCTGCAGAGACTCCCTGTCCACGGACACCAGCTCGAACCCAGCCTGCCGATGCACAAAGACATATTCATCCATCAGAGCCTTGATGGGCAGCAAGAACTGTGTAAAACGCTGAAATAAGGCATCATAGTTTCCTAGAAGGACTCTACTAATTGATCCTGGTATGGAAACTAAAGTCATTCTATACCTCAAAACATGTTTTGTCTCCTAAAAATGAACCACAATGAAGCTAAATCTATAGGAGCAGCAGCACAATGCTGACCAAAGGAAATGCATAGATGACCTGAATGGCTAGAAATGGGCAGCCTTGGACTATCCCATGTCCATTAGGGTATGAGAGCTGGGTCTGCTGACGTCTAATAGGAGGAGCCCATGATGGGCATCAGTTATAGGCCTGTGCTTCTGGCTCTGGAGGAACAGGGAGTCGGCAGCGTGGCCAGCGCTGGTCAATCCCTCAGGGGACACTGGCACCATCTTCTGAAGAGGCCCCGACTTAGCCATTCAAAGGTGTGTCCAGCAGGGCTCACAGAGGTCATCGCTACCATGGTGGACATACGAGTGGAAAAGCAGGATGCCATTCAGGGCCAGCAGCAGGCAGTTATCCTGCCTCACCAATAATACAGACTTTCGCTGCCTCACCATTCCATGAATAATGAATGTGTCTCAAGGCCTTACGGAGGGCTGGGTGCTGCTCAGAGCTGTGAGGGGGGATGCTGTCCTGTTACTGCACGGGCCAGTAATCCTCACTTTCCTTCACAGCCTCTCTGCACCTTTTGTACGACCCCATTACACAGACGCATTTAGCTGGACCACAGTAATCCTAGCGAAAACTCAGGTAAGTGAGGTGGCACCTTCCGGTGTGCGTGAAAATCACAGCAAAGCCGAAGGAATGGGACTGTGAGTCCCTGAGCTTGGAGCAGGAGCCAACAAGAATTTGGGTGATGGTGCTGGGCTTTGGCTGGAGCCAACAGTACCTTAAGCCCTTCGCTCGTCGACGCTGCGCCTCCGGGAAATATCTTCTCTATCTTCACAACTGGCTGCACCTTGGACTCGATCCCACCCGAGATGCTGATTCCTAGGGAAACATGAGGAGAAGGTGGGACTGGGCTGTTCCTCAGGGGCATCACTAATTCATTCATCTGACGAGGCTTTCGTCACACATACTCCTTAGTGCTGTGTAAAGTTTCACCCAGGGGCGCTCTATCATTAGAGCATGGAGGCCGGCTAGCATCCCAGAAGTGCTCACACTCTGGGCTCATTCCCAGTGATGGTTCGGTTTGCAAAACCTTTTGAAAGTAGTTTTATATCAGTGATTCATGGAATGCTGATGTGTTATATTAAACAGCCCCTGGCTGCTAACAGAATCATGAGTTCAATTTCATTGCTGCTCCACTACCATCCACCACTACTTTCAGCCATTTTTGTAGCTGCAAAGTACAGGTGAAGAAGACCTGCAGTTTTTTGGGGCTCTGTCACCGAATGACGTGTTTTGGTAACCCAGGCACATAAAACATGACTTGGCGAGTAATAAGTGTACTGTATGTATTTTCACTGTATCCATTCTGTATATTTGATTCTTTATTAATATTAATTGATCCAAGCCCAGGCAAACTACGATGGTGGAATTGTAGACTCACCCAGGGACTGCTTCGTTTTGGAAATGGTGACACTGGTCAGTTCATGGTCTTGGGGTCGGGCACTGGTGTCACACCTGTCTATCTGCTCCCTTCCTGCAGAGGCCGCCATAGAGACTGGGGTTGCAAAGACTTGCGACAGCAGGGGTCTCCGCGGGTGTGCTGGGCTTGCTGTGCTGCGCACCGCACTCCCCTTGGCCTTGGCGTGGCTGTTCCGGAAAGGGGACCTCCCCCTCTCGGGGGCTGGGGACACAGTCGCCACTTCATGGCACAAAGAGCGGACCGTGTCGTTGCTCGATGTCCGAAGGGAGGCACGGTTGGTACTTCTGATGGACTCGGCCAGAAGCCAGTTGGGGTGTAGCGGCACAGGTGAGGTGGGATGTGGGCAGAGTGTGTCAGCGGTGTGGCCGTCCACCGGTACATCCAGCAGTGGGGTCCCGCACAGCTGCAGGCGTGCCATCTCCTCTGCTAGCTGCCGGGCTCTCTCCAGCTCCTGGGTCGGCTGCAGGTGGAAGCCTCCCCTGTAGTCTGAGATGAGACGAACAGCCAATTAGAGGCCAAGAACTAAGGTCAGGTGGCACTTCCAGCCACGCGGCTGGTAAACACTCAGGCCGCTCTCAGATGGAGGGCTTGGGTTACAGCTCTGTAACGCTGCACAGTGGACAAAGAGCACAGCAGCTCGCTTTCCAGGTCAAGGAGCGCAGCATTAATTACCAGCAAGAATGTGTCCCGCACTGCAAGGTCAAAGGTCACCAGCGGCAACTCTATACAACATGGCTGACCACACGGAGAGCAGCTGAGAGGCCATCATGTAATGTGCAATGAAACAGTTCTGAGCTAAAGACTTAAATGGCTGTAGGGCTGAATGACCAAAGAGCCTCTGGTTCCAACTCACCTGGGATGGGTGTGATGAGGTGGCGTCTGGGTGCGAGTCCAGCCCTAGGGGAACGCAAGGCAGGAGACCTGGCTGAGGAGCAGAGGTGGTGTCAAAACACAGAACATTAACAGCTGTCTGCTCACATAATACTCGTCACCGACACAGAGAGCGCCCTCTGCTGGAATAGTGCTGCATGTGCAGAGTGTGGGTGTATTCCGTGTGCTCACCAGATCGACTCTTCAGAATTTCGTAAGCCTCCAGCTCGAAAGGGAGAACCAGGCTGTCGAAGCGTCCCAGCTCTGTGGGCTGCAACAACATTCTGTGGCAAGAAGATGTGGGACAATTCTGGGCTCGTCTGACTGCCACCACCCACAACAAAATTTTGCATAGCTCCATTAGTGTGACAGCAATCTCCACCCTCATGCAGCCCACCTGATCTCCCGCAGCAACAACAGCTTCTCTGGCCGGTCTAAAATCACCAGCAGGGGGTGCACTAGTTCCTCCACTGCCCTCTCTGTAAGAAACTAATGAAAAAACAGAGAGAGGGGAATAGTTGAGGCAACAGTCAGTTGTTACATGTCAGTGGTTTTGGGATTCTGAAACATTGTATTGATCAGTACATGGATATTCTGTCTCCTTGACCCCATTATGCGTGATCATTAGTCCTATCATGCTACACATACTACCACAGTCCACAGTCCTGATCAGGAAGCCCTTTGTTTGGGAGTGTGATACGACCCTCACGGGTTCACATTCAGAATGATCATTTAGGGTACACCAGCTGATGCTGCTCACCCTCCTGCAGTGCCTGAGTACTGCGATGACCTCGTCCTTTTCCAGCAGCTTCTCAGCCATGTCCTCTACCGCATCCAGCAGCGCTAAGCCAGGGAAGGGCTCCTTGTCCTGGGACGGAGATTTGGAGCGGCTCTTGTGTCTCCCTGCGACCCCCGGCTCTTTGTGGTCTCGTGAGGCCTCTCTCCTGCGGGCCCCTCTGAACAGCAGGCTGACGAAGGTCTTTGAACGCCGCAGCGCCCCGCCCTCACGGCCCCTCTGCCGCTTCTGCTGTTCCTTCTTCTGCTTTTCCTCTGCAGAACACAGGGGGGAGGCGGTTGACCAGCAACATGCTAACATGCTAACAGGCCTGCTCTCCACCCATCCTACCTGCCAGCGTGATGTGACTCTGGGAACGCCGTATGGGCCGGGGTGGCCTGCTCAGGGCCATCAGGACCGCCGTCTTGGGGGAGTCCCCTACGGAGAATGTCCTGGCGCGGCTCCGTCCCCCTCCTTCCGCGCTGCTGCTCCGAATGGCCGTGTCCTTCAGCAGGAAGGTGGCCCCCAGGGTGCGGCTGGTCTCCGTGGGGATGGCGGCACCCCCCCTCAGGGTGAGCTCTGGCTCCAGAATGTCAGTCTGGATGGCGGTCTCCGTCTTGTGGAAGCTTGGGATGGCCGATGGCTCCTCTGTAGCGATGCAGACGTCAGCCATTTCAGTGCCGAAGGCCGACATGCTTGACGGGAACATAATGTGAGACAGGCCACTTAGGGAGCTGATGGGCGTCCCCGAGGACAGCGATGAGGTGGACGAGTTGGTGTCAGAGCCCTGGGAGGAGGCCTTGCGGGGGCCGTTGGCCACTGCGAGGAGGAGAGAGCCAACAATAGGCCTCAGTACCAATACTATGGCCAGCAGACCCTGGAGCTCTCTGTAACCCTGCTTAATGAAGCCAGCACAGCCCATTACATCTACTTACTGCACAATGTGATTATGTCATATAAGGCAGGGAGTAACCTAGCTGTCCACCATGGCTTCATAAACTACATCACATCGGAACAGAAGGCGACGTACGTTTGTTGAGCCAGCTGTATTCCGCCACCATTTCTTTGTAAGCGGGATATCGACCAGCTTCCTGCAACAGAAGTGTCAGAAGTCAGCTTTCCTGCTAGCCGTTTTTGGTGGGGGGAGTCTGGGTGCAGTGTGGCCAGCCTACAGGCAGAGGGCACTCATCACGCAGCAAGACTGACAATCAGGTGCGAAGGACAAGATGGCGGTCCTGTCTAGAGGATCCAACTGGCAGCCTGGCATTGCCACACAACTTGGCTTAGCGTTACATTTGCCGGGGGAGGGTGACGCTCCGCCGCTCACAACCTGATCCCCCGAGCCTGTCAATAATGCAGGTAGGGGCTTGTTTGTCGCCGCGGGAACCTGAGCCCCCGTGCGTAAGGTGAGTAACCAGTGATGGGCTTCACTCCAGTGATCTGTGCACCCCCCACCCCCCATCAGCCCGCGTGGCTTCACGCCCCCTCACTCCACACTCCAACACGTTGCCACATGGGTCCATACGGCCAACACAAGCTCTGCCTTCTTTTTTAAACCTTGTCAAACACAGGACAAGTAACTTAATGCCGGTTTCTTTTGCTATGTTCTATTATCTTTTCCAAGAGAAACACAAAATGGCATCTAAATGTAGTGGTAGCTATTATTGTAAATGGTGATTGTTACAGTATATTTAGGACCATAACCTTTCTTAGAAGATTTAAACAGACAGCAAATGAGGCTGTTGACCTTAAAAAACGAGCATGATAAATTGCCCGGAGTATTATTCAGACATGGTTGAAACCAAGATGTCCTGCCTAGAAGGAGCAGAAGGGGTGAGAGTAAGCAGGAGAGCAGTGAGCTCACCTTGATGGTCAGCATGATGTGCGTGTGGCTCTTCAGCACCTCCACAGCACTGCTGTGGCTGATATCCTCAAAGGTCACCCCGTTAGCAGCCAAGATCTGATCTCCGATTTTGATGCCATTCTGCTCTGCCAAGCCTCCTGGGTCCAGCCTGGCCAAGAGACCCACGTAAGGTAGCTGGTATTACCTTGTTCTTCAAGGCAACCAGTGAACATTACAGCAACCAAAAAGCAGGTCTGTTCATTGTTAAAACAGCTGCCAATCTGCAGCATTCCCTAACGCCCTGGCGGTTTTCTCAGGCATGTACTTTGACACGTAGATGCCCAGGCCAAACTCCTTGCCCCCGCGGATGTTGAAGCCCAGGCAGTAGTCATCTGAGGTGGTGTAAAGGTGCACAATCCTGCGGAGGGCGCCGTCCGAGCTGGTGTCCGAGGGGGTCCTCCCGCTCTCTTCCACCACCATCCTGCGGTGAATCAAGTCCACCCTGCAGAGACAGGCACACAGACATTCTGCCGGCTGTAGAGCCACCTCGTTGGCGATCCACACAGCCCGCTGAGGGCTACCCATACCATGTGGTCTTCTCCTTGGAGTAGCGTATTCCGGGCACCTTCCCTACCCGCCGTAGGACCACACGCAGCCGGCTGTTGCCCGTCAGGACCTTCACGGCGCTGCTCATGGTGATGCTCTCCAGGCTGATGCCGTTTACCTCCACCAGCTTGTCTCCGACGCAGAGGCCTGCTTGCTCTGGGGGAAACAGGACACATATGTATCCGCACGTATGCGCCCGCGCTCACCTCTTCTGATGTCACGCTGCTTGCTCTCACCCGCAGAGCTGCCGTCCTCCACCTTGCTGACGAAGATGCTGAGACCATGCTCGGACCCTCCGCGCACGCTGAAGCCCAGCCGGCCATCAGCGCTCTTCTCCACCGTGACTGTATGGATATCCTCGCTATCGTCGCCCCCTGGGGGTGTCGTGTGGACAGGTACAGTGAGACACAGCAGCCTGCCAGGGGTGAATCACTCTAGACGTGTCACAATGCAGTACAGTGAGCTGGCCTGTAGCTGGTTGCAGCCCCACTGCTCTTACCATCCACAGGTGAGTTGATGAGGATGACTCTGCCCATGGGTGAGGAAGATCTAATGCCCCGATGGCGTTGCTGCTTTTTATGCAGGTAGCGTGTAGCTGTGTGAGCACCCCCTGCATGGCTGCTCGGGAAGGCCCCATTGGCAGATGACTGGGCCATGGTGAGTGGGGCTTCCCCAGCATTGGGTGGGTGTCACCCACCACTGGGCACTGTCACCTGGGCTGTCTGCACTAAAAGCTGTCTCCACACTGCCTCCTGGGGGCCATGCCTGCACCTTCACCTGTCTAAGGCCGATCCGCCATCTACGGTCCAGGAGGCACACAGGCACACACGAATGTCAAGCATTTAATACAGGAACAAAAGCCTATCTTTTATGTATCATATCAAACTCTAACCGATTTCTCATTTGTTTTTCGTCAGCTAGGAGAAGCAGTTTGTCCACAAAGCACCGTGTGAAAGTTTTCCAGCACCTCGGACAGCGATTGCGAAACGGCTGCCTGAACACAAAGCCGCTACCTGACGCGAGTCGCACCGCTGGTATTTAAACTTGGCTCTCCTTCTGCATTAACACTGACGCGTTACGATCGGTTTATGCGTAAATGTTTTAACTAGTAGCTCATAATTGTAAATTATTTTTCCCCAGAGAAAAGTCACTCTATTATATTAATTATAACAGTTGGTTGTAAGAAGTCAAAAACCTTGAAATTATATTTTTAAATTGTATTGATTCAGAAAATGTTAGTGACCCAAAACTCAGCGTATACATCCGTATAAGATGCTGCACTGCCTACAGATTGCGGAATGGCTATACAGCTACCTAGTACTCAAAGAGACATCGAAATAAGCCTTATACGAAATTATTATCATTACCTTTATGTCTTCCCGTTCTGCCGAATGACCTCACCTGTCAGAACGGTGGGTCTCAGGTGCGCTAGGGCCAGCCCCCTAAGACAATCTCATTGGTTTAGCGGAATTAGGCAAAGGCGGCGTCTGTTTTGGATTGGCTCTTCGGGATATCCGTCTTACAAGGCTTGGGGCTTCTAGAACAGCGTGCGTTGATGAAATTAATATCACCTACCAGGTTTCAGTTTAAGAATCGCCTGTATTACTATATTACTATATATAAGAATAATTTAGTAATAAAAAAACACATAAACCCCTTTTAAATTTGTAAACATTAATTTTATTGGCGTTTTAATAGCAGCCTTTTACGCCTTCAAACCGTTCATATCACCTACCACACGGCCTCTTCCCGTTGAACTCATTAACTTATTCATTATCTGAAGCAGGAGCATAACTATAAAAATGCTAGTAATGTAATACACCAAAAAAGACACAGGTTAACCCGAATTTTTAGCCAGCCACATTTTCTGACTTAATGAAAAATTTGTTATAAAAATAATTTAAAAGAATAATTTCCAAACCATTGAACGCAATTGTAGAATTTAGAGTTGGACCATGTAATTTAAAATTCAATCTATGTAATGTAGCCTGCATGGATATTATTGGATGGCTTTAATTGCACTATATATTTTATGCTTCATTTTTCAAAACGTCTGTACAATTCTGTCCTTGATAACAGCAGTTATTTATATATATATATATATATATATATAATAATGTTATAGTGCCGTTCATTAAATGAGTTCCAGGACGTAACATTAAAATGAAATATACACATGTAGACTTAAACCATATTGATATAGGAACTGCTTACTAGACGTGTTTGATAGCATTAAGTTTTTAAATTTATCTTGCTGCTGTTTTTTTTAAATTGATATTAATCCCCGCGATATGTTGCTATAAAAAGCATCTATTAGCAGACCAATCATGAGGCGGCTCTTATTCACACCCTCTTCACTCAGCCAATCCAGTACTTTAGAGGCTAAACACACAGTGACGCTAGATACGAACGCTGTCTTCCATCGTGGCCCCGCCTCTGGCCAGATCTGACCAATAACAGCACGGCAGAGCGTCAAGGTAGTTAGGCTGGGAGTGTTCGTGTGCCGGTGGTTTATTTTAAAGGTCATACATGCGACGGTTGTCAAGTTGTTGTAAGGAAAGTATTATTGAAGTGACCCCAGGTATGTGTTCCGACTTTTGTGTATAAAGTGCGCGGCACCTCTTCCGTGTTACTGTTTCATTTATTGTGCAGAATGGCGTGCCTTTGCGTGTTTAGTCGTGCTGTCACTGACACGAGAGATATCCACATTTCTTTGCTCGATGTACTAGTGTAGTGTTTATCTCAGTTGTGTGATATGCTAGCCACCATTTCATCAGATGAGGAACATCTGAGCAATTAGGAATAGTCTGTGTTGTTTTAACGGCTATTGGGGGGGGGGGGGGGCTCAGGGAGCAGTATGGCTCATGGTTGACCATCTGTCGTATTAGTTCTAGCGATTAAGATCGGAGACGAAGGGCAATTATTGAGAATTATCCAGAATTGAGATATTGAGATGTTGAGAACTGACTCGTGTTTTCATTGACAATCGCTGATCGTCGAGATGTTTAAGGCTCAGTCAATACCAATAGCTTCACAAGGCTCAGTCAGTACCAATAGCTTCACGCCTCCGGTATTTCCTCTGTTTTTTTCCGTAATCCTAAGGTATGTGATGAGATCTCTAAATGACCCATAATTTGTTTGTGTTCGTGTCCTAGGCATCCTGTCCTAGATGTTCCCAGTCTTGTGCTCTATGCAGCTTGACAGACTCCTCCCATATGCCCCCTCCCCATTGACTGTATAAGTATTTAGAAAACTGATGCTTAAAACAAGGGCATAGATTTGCGTATGGACGGTAGCGGCCTGTAACTAGCAATATTGTGAGAGTACCGTGTGTTTAGGGGATGGGAGGTTCAGGGCAGATTTGATCCTTACCAATGCTGAAACCAAACCTACAACCTTGTTCTAAGGGGGGGATCAGTGAGCGGCACTGTCAAATCACCTGTAGGTTTCAAGGTTTGAGTCCTAACCTTGCATTGTGTATGGGGGGGGGTACATTGTGGGGACCAAGTGGCATTTTCATGGTTTGCATCTAAATAGCAAAGCCATGAACCCCTAAAACATCTTACCGTCTCTCCAAATGTGCCTACAATGTGATTTAAAAAAAGTTTGGTTAGGGCTGAGTAGGGGTTAAGGTTGTCATTGCTGGAATTAGGGTTTTCCCATAGGAATGAATGGAGAATCCTCACAAAGATATGAATACAAATCTGTGTGTGTGTGTGTGTGTGTGTGTATTTATAGTGCCATGCCTGTTCTCTCAGTGTTTGCATGTTTTCCTCAAAATATGGGTATCTTTGGCCCAGGAGTGTTCCCTTTTCCAATAGAAGTTTTTCTTCACTGGTCATCTTAAACAGATCATCAAGATAGCAGTTTATTTTCCAGGAAGGCTGTTGGTGCATAGCTAAGAGCTTTGGTGTTTTGCCCAGAGTTACTCCAGTCAATGAGTAATTTGTAGCAAGTGTTAGAGTAGCTCACCTTGGTCTGCTGCATGCCTGACTTTGAGGCTTTCAAATTGGAAGAGAAGGAAAGTGACGTGTTAGCGTAATCAGCCAAGCTATCAGATAGCGCTTTCACTGACGCGTGATGTGTGAGATGATATCTGCATGCAGAACATTTCCACCATGTGATGTGTGCTTGTGTACAGAGATGGAAATTTCAGGTGCAGAAAGTACAAATCCAGACCAAAATAAAGAATCTAACTAATCTAATTCAGAAACTAACCAAAATAAAGAATCTTGAATCTTGAATCCAGTTGAGTATAAGGAGTCACGGTCACAGAGTACTCAGCTGGTTGGTTGAAACAAAATCTTGGTCTTGATTTTTACTTTCTGCACCGGAAATTTTCCACCTCTGCCTGCGTGTGCCACTCCAGGACCATGTCGGCAGAGCTGCCCCGTGACATCAACATCCGCGAGCCTCGGTGGGACCAGGGCACATTCATGGGTCGGGCCCAGCACTTCTTCACCGTCACCGACCCTCGAAACGTCCTCCTGTCTAGCGAGACTCTGGAAGACGCGCGGGTGACAGTGGAGAGCTACAGGTGGGAGGGGGATCTGCCATGACTCTGCCACACTGTTTGTTACTGACCATGCTTGGTGCTGTCCGAGTGATTAAAAACTCTTTTTCTCAATAAATGCACATATAAAAAGCCCGATCAGCCTGCATGCATGTAAATGGTTCGTTTGAATTTGCAATTATCTATGGAAATGTACTTGGTGAGAATTCACAGCTGGGTTTGTACTGATATTAATCATTCATATGTGACAGGGGTCCCTAACTATTTCCATCAGCAACACAATGCCAACATTCACTACATGCAAAAAAAAATGCCAGCCAAGTGGGGGGGGGGGCAATAGAGAAAAAAAATGTGCAGACCTGATAAAATTTTGTTTTGGTCTGGATCAGTGATCTCTGCTATAGTGCAAAGATTCATATTCCATTTCATGGTTTGCATTTAAGTAGCAAAGTCCTGAACCTCTAAAACATCTTGCTGTGTTTCTCCATAAGCAGCACACACAATAATGACGCAATAATGAAGCACACAAGCACTGTGTATGAGCAGGAAGGACACCCAGCTGCTCTCATGTCTCACGGTTCTACCACACTGGCCTCACTCTCAACCACTTTTAACCAATCATGTGTCAGCAGGCGTGGCATCGTGAAGCCAGGCCTGACCGAGGACCAGCTGTGGAGGGCCAAGTATATCTATGACTCTGCTTTCCACCCGGATACCGGCGAGAAGATGCTTCTGGTTGGCCGCATGTCTGCGCAGGTGCCCATGAACATGACGATCACTGGCTGCATGCTCACCTTTTACAGGTGAGCGCTGCCACACCCCCACCCCCCCACCCAGAGCACAGACGCATTGTAGCACAGAGGCTGCCAGCATCCTGTATTATGGTGGGACACGATGGAAGGACAATCCACTGTACAGTTGACAGTTACTAAGGAAACTTTATTATTAACTGAACTCAAAGGCTTGGGGGGGGAAAAAAGGAATCACGAGGGGGTCAAACAAAGGCAGGAGGGTAAAACAAGGACTAACAAGAGCTAACATAAACATGACAAAAAAAACCTAACAGTGAAACATTCAAGGAACCTCCGCAGAGCAGCACGAGCAGCACATACCATAAACATAAACAAACATGACAACTAACCGAGGGAAGGGCAGGCAGTGAAATACACAAACACTGAAGGCAACAAGGGACAGATGTGTGCTATTACTAAATCAACCAAAACACTAAGGACAAGGAGTACGAGGAACAGGTGAGGGTATTAAACAATCGCTACAGATTCAAACACTAGGCGCAAGGGTTATAGAACATTACGAAAAACTAGATACATGCAGGGATAACTAACAAAGGAACAAAACAAAGATCCATACTGGAACATAAACAAGGGTAAACAAAAGAACGGGATGGCCAGTGACACCTGCTGGCCAAACAGGGAATTGACAGACAAGGCCGGGACCGACCCTGACACCCTGTGTCTGCATTGGCTATCCTCCACAGGACCACTCCAGCTGTGGTGTTCTGGCAGTGGGTGAACCAGTCCTTCAACGCCGTCGTCAACTACACCAACCGCAGCGGGGATGCTCCGCTCACTGTAAAGTAGGTTTCCCCTGGGGGGTGTGGGCTGTCCTCCCCCTGTGAAATGCAGCTGTATGGCTCGGCAGTCATGTGACCCGTCATGACCACGTGGCACAGCTCCGACAACATGTGGTCCTTCCTGTGTTTCCGCAGTCAGCTGGGAGCTGCGTATGTCAGTGCCACCACTGGGGCTGTAGTCACAGCACTGGGGCTGAAGTCTCTTACCAAGGTACTGCTGTCTGCATAGGGCTCCCTGTGTCACTCCTTGCCAGCCTGTGTCACTCCTTGCCAGCCTGTGTCACTCTAAGCCCCCTTCTCCGCTCTCCCTGCAGCACCTGCCTGCTATTATGGGCCGGTTTGTTCCCTTTGCTGCGGTTGCTGCTGCCAATTGCATAAATATCCCCTTCATGAGACAGAGGTAAGGCTTGGGGGCTGTTGGACTGTGCTGCTTGCAGGGTGGGCCGTTAAACTGTGCTGCTAACGGGCATCTGCCACCTTCCTCAGGGAACTGAAGTACGGCATCCCGGTGACAGACGAGAACGGCAACCGATTGGGTGAATCCACCAAGGCAGCCCAGCAGGCCATCTTTCAGGTGGTCGTGTCTCGGATCGGCATGGCTGTGCCAGCCATGGGTAAGGGCTCCCTCTGGTGGCCAGGTGGCCACCGTTCTCCTGTACTCATGTGGTGGGAACTCATGCAGTGAGCTATGTGTGTGTGACCAAAACGAAGGGATGGCAGGCAGGGAACACTGTGCTGGAGGCAAAAAACGCTGTGTACCGTGAAAACAGATTCGGTGAAGTTAGAACACTTGTTGCGGAGGCGTGTGTCGGAAATTAGGCTAACCGGCTAACCACAGCTAGTTGGCAGGGAGGCTGTGAGGCCAGAGGCTGACAGGCAGCCAATGTGAGAACAGTTGTCTGCTCTCTGTTCCCAGCTATCCCGCCTGTCATCATGAACGCACTGGAGAAGAAAGCTTTCCTGAAGGTACTTCCTGGGAAGGGCCCGGCCTGGTGAGGGGGGTGCCCTGTGGAGGGTCTGCCTTAATGCCCTGTGTCACCTTCTCTTCCCAGAGGTTTCCTGTGCTCAACGCACCGGTGCAGGTGGGCCTAGTGGGAATTTGGTAAGTATCCAGCAGGCCACACCCCCTAGTGGCTGCTGATGGATGTGCTGCACACATGTAACCTAGATGCTTGATGCAGCTGCTTTTTTTTGGGAGTGATTTAGTCAAAACGGACATAGCAGTGCCCCCTTGTGGCCAGGAGTGTACCTAACGGTCTTTTTTTTTTTTTGCTTTCTTCCTTTCAGTCTGGTGTTTGCCACTCCGCTGTGTTGCGCCCTGTTTCCCCAGAAGAGGTACGACCACATTTAGCTGCCGACCTTCAGCCCTTTGGCTCCCTGCGGTAGGAGCGTGCTCACAGACGCCCGTCTCTTCTGTGTCTGCAGCTCCATGGCAGTGAGCAGCCTGGAGGCAGAGCTCCAGCAGCAGGTGGCTGAGATCAGTCCCAGCACTGTCACAGTGTACTTCAACAAGGGCCTGTAGCTGGCCGGCCCAGTGCCGGGCCCCCTACAGGCACAAGAGGGGCAATGCACCGGCAAGCCACAGTGTGCCACTGGTCATTCCTGAGGTATTTGGACAGTGTGACTTCAAGCCAGTTACACAGTCTGCTTTACAGTTACAAGAAGTCCGTTTTATAAGGCAGACTGGGTGGTACGCCACAGTCCCTGTAAAAACCACATTACAGTGTTCCATATGTGCCATGTGCTGTGTTCTGTTTTAGCCTGAAAGGGCAGCTGGACACACTTTCAGTGTCACACACTCACGCAAGATGTTACGACAAATCTATATTATTCCATTATAGACCTAAAATTAGCTACATCGAAAGCGTTGGGGTAGTTTGCAAACCCTAGACCATTTACAAGGTAATCAAACTGTTACATACACGTAATTGTGTGCGCGTGTGTGTGCAGACTTGTCTCGAATTGAAAACCCTGCTCATTTCATTTCAGTCACTCCATCAGCACAAGTATTTTAAATGCTCACTTTTGATTTCCAGAAGCATCTGTGCAGGAAACGCAGAGTACAGCTGGCAGGGCGAAACCTGGCCGATTGTTACCAATTAGAATGTCTTCCAGCTGACAGTGTGTGTGTGTGCAGGAATCCGCTGTGGGTTGTACACTTGCCATGGTCAGTGTGACCAGCCCGCTGCATGTGGTGCTTCCCCTTCCCTCTCAGCACACCCCTGTAGCGTATTTACCTCGTGTGCAGTTTCGGAGACGTCGTAACGGTATCGTGACCAAACCTATGCATCCGTGAGGCTCTTTCAGTGTTCTGTACAGCCGCTGTGTGCTTTCTGTGGTCCAGTAGTAGAAAACTCACATCGGAGATCCTTTTAAAACCTTTAAGGCTGCGAGCAGGCTGGCGTCCTGCAGAACAGCCACTCATGTTCGATATCAGGTGTTACAAAGCCTCCTTAATGTGGCCACTGGCCGGGAGCCTGTGCAGGCAGATCTGGCTCTTACATGGTTTCCCTCATTAATCTCCAATATGATGGTGATGGTGTCACAAGTCACAATCTTTGCACGCTGGGACTGAGCACCTTCCCTTGATACACACTTATGGGGGTCAGGCCACACGCAAAAGGAAAACATTTGCCAAAGATTGAAATGGATCTTCTGCACAGGTTCTAGGCCACCGTTTCTCAGCCTGGCTGAGAAACACTGTTCCTTGCCATCATTTTTAAACCAGTGCTTTGTGGCTTAGGTGTTCAAAAGATTTTAAGTCTTAGTTTCTCTTCTCAAAAACAGTACAATCAATTAGTGTAATTCACGGGATGAATTTGCTTTTTAGCTGAAGCCACCAGCAGGAATTGTTTGAAATGGCTGTTTAAAGGCACAAACGTCTAATATGCAAAGTGACTGAGGGTAATCATCTCAGTGTTGTATTGATTGTGTGCACTGAATGTGTGTAATAAAGGGATGGGGAACAAACACGCTGTCTTTACATGTGTGATGGGTCTCCTGCTGTCCTCATTTAGTTGCCCAGCTCTGTGTCCTGCTCCTGGGCCTTATAGGGCCGGGTTCTGGGGGTCCCAGTCGTCCCAGTAAGATGCAGTCAAGACCAGTAGGTCCAAATGCCTTTTATTGAGAGCCTTTGCTGCAGCCGGACCTGTCTGTGCAGGGGCGCCCTCAGCCGTGGCTGCGTGTGTGTGTGTGTGTGAAGTATCTAGCCAGCTCCCTCTGCAGAGTTAGGCGCAGGCTGTCATATGCACGCACACAGAGCTGGCTGCGGACGCCCGGGCACAGCCCATGGTTTACACAGAGCAGCGAGTGATACAGGTTCAGGATGCTTCTCTAAATTTGAATCTACTTTCTGTAAACTAGTGGGCGGAAGCAGTCACCTCCATGCCAAATGGCGCCCCCCAGTGGAGACCCATGAGAAGACATGAATAACAGTCTATTAAAAATACACTAATATTTCACTGGCTGAATTTTCCTGGCTGCTTCCAGAACAGAAGATATGTTGACTTTATCCCCAAACTCCTTCTCGCGGTGCTCCAGCAGGATGCCCTGGAATCGGATACAGGTGGCAGTTCAGAGGACGACCCAGCCTTCATTTATACTCACATCTGAGGGCGGCACTGAGAAGCAGCCGCTGTGTAAGACACACCTGCTCTCCTGCTCCGATGACAAACATGCCGCCCAGGATGAAACCCTCGCCCTTCACATTTCCCGAATGCCCGTTCCTCCATGCCCGCAGGAAGTTGGCCCACACCCCCAGACGGACGATCCCCAAGCCGCCCATTTTCCTCTGCGCGGGTCCGTAGAAATGTTGCTGAAAGGGGAAAGAAGCCATCAGCCATGACTGCACCTCACTGGGACAACGGGGACAGGAGGAGCCCCTGCCAGCTGCCCCCTCACCTTCTCATCCAGAAAGACGTCGCCAGAGAAAAACGGCTTGAAGTCGTGGACCTCCGACTCGATGTTCTCCTTCACGACAGCATAGAGGGGAACACCGAGCTGGTCCAGCTGGGGTTTGAGGGAGGAGAGCTCTGCGGCCTCCTGTGCAAAAAGCAGTCCACACTGTCACAGCCCCTCCCCCTACAGCAATCCCCCAGCCTCCGAAACGGCACTGGTACCTCTCTGCACAAGAATCATCCAGGACGCCTCACAGCCATGACAACGGCCCCGGATCTCTCCCACAGAGACCCAGCCTTAAACGTCTTCTCATCTGCAGACAGACAGACAGCACTCATTGGACCTGCTCTTTAAACAACAGCCTTCCTAACTAAACATAACACAATCAGACTGCTAACCTTAATGCACAATGACCATATCAGAAAAGGCCCTTCCTCTCTCAAGGGCCTTCTATACGCAGCCCAGTCCTGCATTAACACAAATAGTTTTCTTACCATCTGCTATTGTTTTCAGATCAGTCTCCCCCAGGTACTCCACACTGGCCGGCTCTGGCTTATCCAGTAACAAATCAGTGTTGGCGAGGAAAATGCCTGCAATGGCTGCACCAATTGCTCCCAGTCCCAAAGACCACATGGCCAGGAGCTCCCCCTACAGGGTAAAGGACAGCACTGCAAAAACAAGGTGTCATGGTTACTTCCCTGTCTTAAATTTACAGACACAAAAAAACGAGATTTACACTAGAGAAATGAAAAGCCAAACCTGGACCGGGACAGAATCGGTACTGTTCACCACAGACATCCACTTCATATCAGTCTGCACTTTTTAAAAATTTCGATAGTCTACCACAGGGGAGCCCAGCATTTATTAACTCAAGATGTACTTTAAGTGGCCAGTGTGCCGAGATCTACCAGTTCAAATAGGGAGCCACAGCCATTACTCTATTATTACTCAAGCTATTGCCTTTCTACATAGTTAACATGCACACAGCAAATCCAGACAAATCCAGGTAATTGAAAAAGTGTAAATAAATGTATTTCTCTACCTTACTGAGACCGCTGGCACTGGAAAGCTATAGTTGCAGCCTTACTTTTGGTGTTCGGCTTGGTAAAAATTGACTGCTGTGCTGCTAACTAACTTTTCAGTTCTCACACTTGTCGGCTGCGTATGGCTGTTTTAGCAGAGAACTGTCTCGTAGCTTTTGTGCACCGTTTTGAAATGTCGCTCCAAATTGCCCTTCTTCGGTAAAGCCACGAATTTGAGTAAACAAAAAAAAAACAATCCTCTTCCCACTCTGAGTGAAAGTTATACGTTTTTGATCTTTTGGCTTCTGACATGTTTGCGTGCTAAATGTTTACAGTACACGATTAGCTGCACACTGACAAATGGGCGCATGCGCGAAAGTGCACGGACGCTTGCGACGCACTTGGCGATCGATTGAGAATTACTCCGCGATCGACTGTCTGGGCACCCCTGGTCTACCAGTTAACCATCTCTAACCCAGCTTGCTTCAAAAGCTTGCTGCAGTAAACTTTATTTTTCTGGGGGAAAGAAAAGCAAAACACTGTCGGGTCCAAACAGAGCCCTATGAGCAATACTGAAAAAACAGGTACAGTGTTTTACCAGATTAAAGCAGACCTTAGCCAAGCCCTGTCTGCATTAATAGATACCACTGTACTCTCATGTAAACACTTCCCAATTTGGCCAATACAAGAAGCAGTGCTGTGTAAATCGTAGCCTAACTCATCACACTCGCTTTCCCTCATTCTTTTCTTTGTTTGGCTGTTTGTTATATTAATTCCCTAAATAGCCCCTTCCAGACCTAACAGCAACTAGAAAGGTGATCAGTCCTGAATCACCTACCTTCTCTGAACAGAGGCAGCCTGTTCATCAAGCCTTAACCCGAGTGAATGCAACCAGTGAGAAGCTGATTTCCCTGCAGCCTGCCTTTCAATTAATTATTAAAAGCAGATTTAATATCAAGGTCATGCGGTCAGTAACTGGCTCAAACTCGACATACCCTATTATGTAACCCCTATTTGAGAATACAAAGTACATGTAATGTGTAAACACTGAGGGAGATGCGCTTTTGTGTTGTCAGAGCCCCTACAAGTCGTCTCACACCGGATGTGGCCCTTCGGCCCCGCAGCACGCCAACGGAAACCGCAGGCAGACTAGCTCGCGTGCGCTGTCCCCATCGTTACGAACTGCTACGCTTTCGCGGTACAAAGGTTAAAATCCGCGTCTTTTCCCGTACTGCCTACTGATTTTAAACTCCAGTCGTGCTGTTATGACAAGAAATACGTTTTAACTTTCATACCGCCAATGTATACATGCGTACAGTGATACCAATCCCTGGGCTATAAATAAAGCATTAACGGTATCAAATTTAACGCGATGATAGGGAATAAACAGGAAACAACCAACCACTATAATAATTTCTGTGAGTTTTTAAAAAGACTTGCAGTTTAAGTAGCCTAAAACAAAAATGTTTTGGCATATCTGTCAATTTAACCTGACGAATGATCTTCTGTTAATACATTTAATATTTTACTAACGAATTTAATTCAATGTTCACGATATACTGTTCGCAGTTTTAAAAAACCCGGCAGTACTGAGGATTACATTACAAACCTACATACATGCACACACCTGTCAACAATTCAGACACGATCGGTTTTTTAACAGATTAAGTAAAACCATCATACCTACTGACAAACAAACCAGGAGAGGACAGCGATCTACCGATGGTCAGCGAATGCTGTCAGGCGTATAGCGTCAACCTATGATAACCCGATCCATCCAGGAAGAGCAATCGAGCACTGCAATGTAAGGAAAAGTTCTTTCAGGGCTAATAGACGGACACTTCTTCAAAACTACTGCAATAAAGAGTCAAAGAAGATAATAATAATAATAATTACAAACAAAAATGATTGGACAAAATGTAAGACTCATATTGCTTTTGATCACGTCTGCAGGGGTGGTGTAACACTCGTGCTTTCAGACTCTCACGTTCACGCAAGAATTCTTTCGGCAAATCTATATTATTCCGTTTTAAACCTAAACCTATATACTTAAATAGCGTTGGGGTAGTTTGCAAACCCTACAGACTATTTAAAAGGTAATAAAACTCTTATATCCATATAAATGCGTGTGCATATGTGTGCAGAATTCAAAATCTCCCGCCTTCCTGCTGACCAAAGTTGGCAACCCTTCGTGTGCAAAAAAAAATAGATGTTGCGGACAGGAAACGGGAGTCCAAGAAATAATGTGGACTTACAGTCCTCTTCGTTCGTATGTTCGTAAGTTGTAAGTTGAAAGTTCGTAAGTAGAGGAGCGTCTGTACTGTGTTACTGTACTCATTCAGGCCAAAGGTGGAAAACGGCGGTAGAAGGAATCCATCAGTTGAGGAGGGGGCAGCTTCCAAACTACTTCATCTGCATGCAGGGGCGTTGCTAGAGATTTTGGGCCCCATGAAAGCATATCATATTAGGCCCCCCAGTCCAAACCAATCCAGTTATTTTCCTAATTTTTTAGTGGAATCGTCCTAGCTTTCCTCCCCCTTACGGCGCCCCTGTCTGCATGTCTCCATTGTCTAGAGCTCTGCAAACCAAACCAACCGGCCAGAGCAGCCTTCTTTTGGAGCTATGCAGCACAGATTACACATTCGGCATGATCTGAAGTACGTTCATCACATCCTTCTACCATATTTTTAAATAAACATATTGATCAGGCAACTGATTCTGTAATACACATTTTTGTCGATGGAAAAGTGAACTAACAGTATAGTTTTGTTGCCTCTGTTTTATATCTTCAATCCATCCATCTATTTTCTGTAACTACTTGTCCTGTTCAGGGTTGCGAGGGGTCCGAAGCCTATCTTGGAGGTTGAAATTATTTTACGTTGCAACAAGAATGAGGACGTTTGTCGGTCCAACCTGCTCTACCTTATGTCACAGCAGGAGGGCAGTCAAAAACAGGCACGGGCCATGAAATTATTGTTTGTTTCTTTACTTGGTAGCTAAGTCGTTTGGATCCAATTCATACTCATCCCTGTAATTTATACTGTGCAGACGGCTATAATTTCCTGCGCATACTGTAAACCCAAGAGTCTGAGAATAAAAAGACAGTCGTTGTTTACTGTACACCCGCAGGGCAGGTGTAACTGAGAGGCTTTGGGTATGAGGCAACTCCACCCACAGGTTGCTCTGAAGCAGAACACATGGGCGTTTCCCTCATCAGTATTGCACATGGACATCCACCACAAGCCCTGCCAGTGATCTACTTCCAGTGGCATTCAGGGGAAACCCATTCTAGAGGGGGAGCATCTTCAGTATAGCTAGCCCAAGAAGCAGAAAAGATGCAGCCCCACCCATGTGCTCCTGTAGTGGCACGTTTCACTACCTCACATACCGTGTGCATGGCTTCTCCAACTTATATATTGACTTGTGTATTAGGCCACATGTAGCAGGAAGATGGAGTGCTGAATGACCCATTGACACACATTCTCACACATAAACCTACACTCACCTAAAGGATTATTAGGAACACCTGTTCAATTTCTCATTAATGCAATTATCTAATCAACCAATCACATGGCAGTTGCTTCAATGCATTTAGGGGTGTGGTCCTGGTCAAGACAATCTCCTGAACTCCAAACTGAATGTCAGAATGGGAAAGAAAGGTGATTTAAGCAATTTTGAGCGTGGCATGGTTGTTGGTGCCAGACGGGCCGGTCTGAGTATTTCACAATATGCTCAGTTACTGGGATTTTCACGCACAACCATTTCTAGGGTTTACAAAGAATGGTGTGCAAAGGGAAAAACATCCAGTATGCGGCAGTCCTGTGGGCGAAAATGCCTTGTTGATGCTAGAGGTCAGAGGAGAATGGGCCGACTGATTCAAGCTGATAGAAGAGCAACTTTGACTGAAATAACCACTCGTTACAACCGAGGTATGCAGCAAAGCATTTGTGAAGCCACAACACGCACAACCTTGAGGCAGATGAGCTACAACAGCAGAAGACCCCACCGGGTACCACTCATCTCCACTACAAATAGGAAAAAGAGGCTACAATTTGCACGAGCTCAACAAAATTGGACAGTTGAAGACTGGAAAAATGTTGCCTGGTCTGATGAGTCTCGATTTCTGTTGAGACATTCAAATGGTAGAGTCAGAATTTGGCGTAAACAGAATGAGAACATGGATCCATCATGCCTTGTTACCACTGTGCAGGCTGGTGGTGGTGGTGTAATGGTGTGGGGGATGTTTCTTGGCACACTTTAGGCCCCTTAGTGCCAATTGGGCATCGTTTAAATGCCACGGCCTACCTGAGCATTGTTTCTGACCATATCCATCCCTTTATGACCACCATGTACCCATCCTCTGATGGCTACTTCCAGCAGGATAATGTCACAAAGCTCGAATCATTTCAAATTGGTTTCTTGAACATGACAATGAGTTCACTGTACTACAATGACCCCCACAGTCAGCAGATCTCAACCCAATAGAGCATCTTTGGGATGTGGTGGAACGGGAGCTTCGTGCCCTGGATGTGCATCCCACAAATCTCCATCAACTGCAAGATGCTATCCTATCAATATGGGCCAACATTTCTAAAGAATGCTTTCAGCACCTTGTTGAATCAATGCCACGTAGAATTAAGGCAGTTCTGAAGGCGAAAGGGGGTCAAACACTGTATTAGTATGGTGTTCCTAATAATCCTTTAGGTGAGTGTACACTGCTGTTCTCAACTTGCCTGTAACTAATACTGTCATGTGTTAAAAGTATGGAGCTTTTCAAATCATTTCGACCAATGCAGTAATCAGTAATTATCAGTGCAGTGGGTATTGATTTGACATACATATCCATTTAATTAAGAAGTATTATGCATGTAAAGTTTTGAATACATAAAACTTCATATTGCAAAATTAATAAGTAAATGACACAAATTTATCAAGTTCTTGTGAGTACCCTGGTTTTTTTTAGTTGCAGAGAGGAAACATATTATGATAGATTTCTCTATCAAGGTATTGGCTAAGATCATAAATGCGTGCGATGTTTTAATAGGGTGGTCTCCTTCATTCTGTCAGGAGCCTAGTGGAGGGATATGGATGACCCGTATCCCCAGAGCCCAAATCCCGGGTACAGTGGTTCAGTAAATTCGGTCTGGACTCGGTGGATGAGGTTCCTTGTATCGGAGATGCTGTAGTAGCACAGGATTCCAGCCCGGTGATCCAGAAAGACCCCAATTCTGGGGGAATGTGGCACAGCCAGCGTCGTGCTCACACTGTCGTGTACAAAGCAGCATTTTAAGCGTGAGCAGTACAGACTCCAGGACTTTTCGTTCCAGCCGAAGCTGCAGTTGTTGCTGGCGCCTTTCCTGCTGATCCCTTTATAGACCACAGCTATATCTACCTCACTGCCTTTCCAGTCCAGCTCCCAGTAGAATCTGCCGTCTTTCAGGCCCTCCAAGCACAAAACCTGCTGCCAGTGGTCAAATCTCTGAGGGTGACTGGGATACGGCTGCTCTTGGCTCTTCATCATCAGCTCCGTGTTCCCCTTAGAGAGGACGAGGTTTTTGTGGGCCGTGTTGGGATCCAGCACGAGCTGACAGGAATCTGATGGAAGGAGATGAACACAACATAGTCACAAGACCCATAAAACTGTGCTGTGTTAATCGGTAAGGAAGTGGGTTGACTGTTCTGAAGTCACACAGAAAGATGCACACTGGACTACAGAAGAGTGCAACTGCACTCTGCACAGGCTCTTTCCGTCATTCAACTTGGAAGATTCTAGCCTCTCTGTGTACAGACAGCTCATGTCCAGTAGGAGTGTTTGCTCACAGGGTAAGATGTCATCACTGGCCTTGGGTTCTCTGGTGTCTATAATTTGAATTTCTTTGGCTGTTGGGTGGTAATGAACAGAAGGCAGGTATTAATGAGATGATCACAAGCCATTTAAAGCATGGGGCATGTCTATATCATATACATTTAGGTGCTATAAGATTTTTTAAATTATATTCGTGACTGATTAAACAAAAATGCTGTGTTCCACATCCAAAAAGCATACAGACTATATACCTCTAGCAGCAATCTTGTCCATTTCGCCCTTGCAGACATCCTCTAGTTGCATTTTCATATCCGATATGGCTTTTCTCAGAGCAACAAATGAAACCTGGTGGTTGATACTGATGTTGGACAGATCTTCATAGTTGGAAGGGGCACCAAAAGCCTGCCAGCTCTGTTCAGAAGGGAATGGAGATAGATAGGTATACTGTGAGTTCAGGTGTCCTAAGACAGTGGTTCCCAACCTTTTTTAACTCACGGCCCACACAGCCAAACACATATGTTTCCGCGGCCCACTGCAAAAGAATTTAAATGATCCCGCTTTTTGTGTCGGGTTAACTAAGTACTCGGAAGCAAGGCTGTTAATTGTCTTTATTGAATAAACTGGTAATTTATTTAATTATATATCAAATTATGATTTATTTGATTTTGATTAGACATTTTTTATTATATTAACAATATTACAATTTCTATTAATAATAATTGGCGCCCCCCTGCAATACCGTCGCGGCCCACTAGGGGGTCGCGGCCCACAGGTTGAAAACCACTGTCCTAAGAGACACACTGCCTACTCATTGTCTACTGTGTGCTGCTACATCAGAAGAAAGATTACCTGAAGAAAATGGATGTGATCGTCGGTTTGCGAGAGCTGCTCCAGCTCCGAGTGTCTCCTCCTCATCTCCACGATCTCCTGCTCCAGTCCGCTTAGGACTCCTTCTGCTTCGGAGACCGCAGCCTTCTCCTGATTTCTGATCAGCTCTTTCACCTCAAAGTGTCTTCTCTCAATGGAGCGGATGAAGTTGGTGAACACCCTTTCATTCTCCTCCAAGGCCACCTGTGCTGAATGCTTCAGGAGATGCAGAGAGAAGACACGTGATTGGTTAAGTCAGATTTCCCCCAAGCCAGCTCTCTTCCCCCTTCTCCAGCATCTATGTCCACCTTGAGAAGCTCCACTGTCTGATTCAGATCCTGCCATTTCTTCACCTTTCCCTGGATCTTCTGCTGGGACTGCAGTAAGGTCGGACCAAGAAGCTTCTGTGAATATACAGAGGTATGTTGTAAAGCATAAGACAGCCAGTGTGCAGTGCCTGCCATCACTTCTCTAACAGTGTCTTTCTTATTCACATTGACTCTCAATAAAAGCACCAGGCTATGAAATAAATGCATTGAATTAAAATAGAAAGATGCCATGTACTATAGGTCCACAGCTTCAGCTGATACAGTAACATACATAGTATTACTGAGCACACACTGTGATCAGGAATTTTCAGGTAAGTTAGCTTAGTCACCTAAAGAGTCACCTAAACTCACAGCAGGCCAATCAGGTGGGCAACCAACATGCACTTTATGTCCTTACCTGTTTCTCGGTCCTTTCTACTGCTGCATGGACCGTTTTGTGGTTTTCATGCTCATTCATCATGCAGAGTGAACAGATACAGAGCTGATCTGTACAGCAGTAAAACTCCAGCAGTTTGTCATGCCGAGGGCATATCTTGTCCTGGATTTTTCCTGTGGCTTTGACAATTTCATGCTTCATAAAAGCCGGGTATTCGTAGTGAGGCTGGAGGTGAGTTTCGCAGTAAGAGGCAAGGCAGGACAGGCAGGACTTGACAGCTTTGCGCTTCTTCCCAGTGCAAAAGTCGCACAGCACCACCGCATGTTCAGCTTTGCGGTGGCCGAGAGATGACCTTCGACCCTTGCCCACTGTGCCCGGCTGTTCCTGCGCTCCTGTGCCGTTTCTCTGAGACATTTGGTGGCACCTTGTACAGAGGCGTCCTCAAGACTGGTGGCAGAGACAAGTTTCAGTGAAACTCAGCTTGGAATGATGTAGGCAGGAATGTGAGGTAGGAATGGGGTACAGGTGAGACCAGTACAGCCAGATCCTTCTGACCTTCAACCTGGAGGCGGTACACATGACCAAGGCAGCCAATCAGGCTGCTAAACTGAAGCTAATGAAGCAAATGATGTCAGTCTTTTTAAATCCTTAAACGTCTATGCCAGATTTTATTTTAGCAAAACAGTTTATTTTTTACACAGTTTACCAAAACGGTTTATTTAATCACACTTTAACATCGTACCATTAACGTCAATATGTTTTGTAATTTAGTACCATGGCACCAGTTAAATCTGAGAAATACAAAAATATAACTAAAATAGTGTAAATATTAACACAAATATACACTCTCTCTCTCTCTCTCTCTCTCTCTCTCTCTCTCTCACACACACACACACACACACACACACACACACACACACACGATTTCCCTGCATTGACAAACGCGCAAATACGCAGCACGTGTGTCTGAGTCCTTCTAGAACTGAGCGTGCGCAGTGCGCGTTTGCCATTGCTAATCACTGGGAGTTTCTCAAACGGATGGTAGAAAGAAACACGGAGGGGCTGAAAAAGTGCAGACTTTTTAGAAGTGCAATAAATAAATACTCACGTTCATTTGCATATAATTTTATTTATTAATTGGACATATTTTGTTCCCCAGTACAAAAACTCTATATTTTGTGGTCAAATATCATATTTGTGTTAGATAAAAACCATGTTACAAAGAGTTTTATAGAATGGTGTAATCTAAGTTTTATAGATCATAATACATAACGATGTATCATTTTTATTTTCTAATTTCTTTGCCTAAACAGTTTATATTATTATGCCACTTTACATTTAATGCAGTAAACAATCAAAAAGAAGAATATTGAAATTGGAAAATGAAACTGACTGCATTTACAAGCAGCATTCTGCTCATAGGAGGCAAAAATACCAGGAAAAACCCGTTCAGCAGTTTTGTAAAATCATGACTTACCTGATGATTTGGTTATTTGCTCGGTCAGTCGAGTTATAAACACTTCGGGAAACTTGTCAGATTAAATCACATAAATACTCAATTGAAACCAAACGCAGGTAGTTCATGACCCACTTGTGTGCAGCGTTTATCACGCGACAAAACAATGCAATGTATAATATTGCGTGTTTGCCCAGTATCTATTTAATCTGCTGCCTACTTAAATTGTTGCACGGTATTCCTTTTGATTATTACCTTTTTTTTTTTTGTAAATTTGTAACGGAGATACAGGGACAAAGTTTTTCACCGTCTGGGTGGCACGTCCAGCGTATCTGCAGAAATGCACATACAGATCTGAACAACAAAACACACACAGGAATCCTAACAGAAGCGGCTCTGACCTCCGGCCCGCAGGGGGCAGCGGCGTGTCACGATACAGGATTGCCTGCGATAAATCCTTTGCATGAGGACGTCGACGCTGTTGGCGCCAGTAGATCAGTGGCGCCAGCGCAACACAGAGAGAGGAAGAACGGAGAAGGAGGGTGAGCTGACGGACAGGCGGCCGAGAGTTGGAAAGCAGGCGACCCGGGCGCAAAATTCGACGGGAAACTTCCCTTCCCAACTTCGGGTAGATAAAAAATAAAGTAACGGCGACTCGGGTAAGTAACGAGTGGGTTACGGCGCTTGAAGCTGCAGGCTAGCCGTCTCCGACTACCGTACTGCCTTCCCGCTAGCGGCTAGGCGCACGCTGCAAGTCGAGCCCCAGATTCGAGTTTCCCGGCCTTTGTGTGGGAAAGCTGTCGACTAAGGCCGATAGTGGCCGCGCTGGAAACCGGTGTATGTGGGCAATGATGTAGATGCACCGGAGCCGTGAGGCGTAGGATGGCGGGGCTGCCCTGGTTAGCAGGCCTTGCTGCGGATGCTAACCTTGGCAGCCCCGGTTAGCACGGGCCGCCGCTGCTCCGAAAGTGGCAGCGGAGTCATGCACTCCTGGCTCTGCATGCATTTCGGGGTTCAAAATTCTTTTTTTCTAGACTGAGGGGAGCAGGGAGACCCAGTGTGGTGGGGCGGCCTCCGCTCCAGGTCGGCCCGGCTGCTTTGTTGATTATATAAGGTGGGGGGCCCTTTCCCGGGCTTTTACGTCGCTCGCAGTAACACGGTGTCTTGCAGCCGGGTACCACTAAGCTCCCGTCAAGGCGCCCCGTGGACTCGCCGTCGTCACCCCCAGTTCCGTGGTGCTCGTTACTGTGTGAAACAGGCGATGGCCTGTCTGGCTGAGCGCACCGCTGAAATGCGCTTTCAAGGGCGGAAGTCGGCGGCGGCCATCTTAGGGCAGCTCTACGGCGGAGTGGTGCTCAAGATGCCTGCGCCGAGCGGTCTGGCGTACGGCGCGCCGCCCCGATCGGCCTATCAGCTTTTGTAAATAATTTATAAGTGGAATGACCGGCCGCTTTTGGGTGCCCTTAAACTAAATTTTCTAGCTTAAGAGGTTGAACCCGGTTTTGCGTGTGGAGGGCCGCGATCGGTTTCGGCCTAGGCGCAGCATCTGCAGGCGCGGTGCTTCAGGAGCCTTCTCCATCTGCATAGGCCCAGGCATCTAGTTGGGGGCTTTAAAACGTGTTAGAGAGGGGCGCTGAGGTGTACCTGCGATATACGTTTTACTTTTAAAACGAGTCGCTTAGTGTTGATGCATTTACTGTACGTGAACAGTGTGCCTGTGTGTGCTGCCGTTTTCTACGCAGCTGCTTCAAGTCACCAGGAAGTAGGTACTTGACGGTGTTGTGGTGATGGTCCCCTGCTGTGGCCTGGATTTGTGCTCTCGGGAGCCTGACACATCCTCCTTTTTGGGTCGTCTTATTTACGTTTAATATATGGTGCTTGATGTGGGGGTTGGGGGCGGGGGTTGTAAAGGACTGCATGGTGGGAGCTGGCACAGCCTGCCCGATGTCCTGATGTGAGTCCCATGTCCCTGTCCCCCTCGCAGGTGGCGTGCCTTGCATCAACGTGCAGGGGCTCCCGGCAGCGCTGCCACTGGACAAGCCCGGCTCGCTAAGAGGAGCCCGCTAAGCCGTCAGGCTGGAGTCCGTCATAATGGCTGAGTCAGAGACTGAGTGTGACACGCCGGGGCTCGACACCCTGGGCTCTGAGTGTGTCATACCGCACAGTCAGGTCACTGAGGTGCACTATACGTCGGGATCTGAGATCATGGCTCTGGAAGTGAAGCGGGATCATGATCTGGACCACATTCACGGCGCACACTTGTCTAAGATCCAGGGTCTGGGTGCTGACCTGGGCTCTGTCCCTTGTGTGGATTCCGACCAGATCATAGCAGAGACGGATCACGATTATACAAAAGCAGAGCACCAGACAGACCTGCAGTGTTACACCGGGGCTGAAATCAAGTGTGTGACCAGTGAGAGCCTGCTGGGTGACATCATCAAGACGCAGATGGGTGGGGAAGATGCCACACACATAATCAAGGCGGAAGACCAGGCACTGATGGTGGAGACGGAAAATGGCATGGTGATCCACGAGGCCCAGAGACTGATTTGCAATGAGTGTGGGGAGTTGTTTGACAGTGCCTCAGACCTCCACCAGCACTACGAGATTCACAAAGCGGCAGCCCCCTACTGCTGCATCCAGTGCGGCGAGAGCTTTGCCGTGGAGTCCAGTCTGAAGGAGCACCTGAAAATCCACTTGAAGGAGAAGCCGTACGGTGCAGGGGTGGAGGTGGTTGGCAAGAGTTGCATGGATGCCTTCGGCCTGAAGGCCCACTCGCTGATGCATACCCCCGATAAGCCGCACCGCTGCTCTGAGTGTGGCAAGAGCTTTGCGGCAGCCATCACCCTGCGGGAGCATATGAAGCTGCATTCGGAGGAGAAGCCCTACAAGTGCTCGCAATGCCGCAAGAGCTTCGTCCGCCGGCGCCACCTCAAGAAGCACCAGGAGATGCACGCCCGCGAGAAGCCTTACAGCTGTGGCCAGTGTGGCAAGAGTTTTACTGCGGCGTCCAACCTGAAGCAGCACCAGAGGATCCACGTAGGCGGTCCCGGCCCTGGCGACAAACCCCACCGCTGCACCCAGTGTGGCAAGAGCTTCGCCGCGGCTGCCACCTTGCGGGAGCACCAACGGGTACATTCGGGCGACAAGCCCTACAAGTGCACCATGTGCCGCAAGAGCTTTGTGAGGAGACGTCACCTCAAGAAGCACCAGCAGATCCACTCCGGCGGGAAGCCGTACAGATGCTCCCAGTGCGAGAAGAGCTTCAACCACTCCTCCTCCCTGTCCCGGCATCACCGCATCCACCTGGATGACAAATTGTACACCTGCAACCCGGGGGGGAAAGCATTTCCATTTGGCTCGAACCTAAAGCGCAGCATGCATTCGGGAGAGAAGCCATACAGCTGCAGCCATTGTGAGAAAAGCTTCAATCACTCATCCTCATTGTCGAGGCACCAAAGAACTCACCTAGATGGAAAGACCTACAGCTGCAGTCACTGCGGCAAACGCTTCAACCACTCCTCCTCGCTGGCCAGGCACCAGCGGGTCCATCTGGAGGAGAAGGCCGCGTACACGGCTGCCCAGGCAGAGAAGGGCTTCCCGCACACCACTATCCTGAAACACCAGCGCGTTCTCAATGCAGAGAAGCCCTATCGCTGCTCCCAGTGCGGGAAGGGCTTTAATCATTCATCCTCTCTGTCACGACACCACCGGGTCCACCTAGACCAGTGATGCGCGAGCGGGCGGGTGGGTGCGTCCTGTTGGCTCAGGCGCTTCTCGCCACGCTCCTGTCCTTAGCTACTCCAGGTATACGAAGCTGCACCGGATGAGTGACCCTTTTCAAACAGTCCAGACGTTTGGGCCGCGACTCGCACTCGGTGTCAGGAGAAATAACCTTTTGCTGACAGCTTGACGTTGGCTGCTGGGTTGTGTTCAGGCAACACGCAGATGACCCTGAACACGTCTCGCGTGAGATAGGTGTGGATGCCTCGCAGAGAGGGTCCTGCCTGCCCACCTGCCTCAGTTACCATTGGCTTATCACAAATTGATGTGTGTGGTGCAATTTCCCACCTTTCGATTCTTTGTGGACTTTGAAGTCAGTAATGGTGTAAATAGTTTGTCGGTAGGTACTCTGGGTTATTCTGACCTGTTTGCCTCCGGGGTTCTCGTGCCCCGTTAAGGGGGATTGTTGAGTGGGATTTAGAAAGCTGTCAGCAAAGGATTAAGACTCCAAGCCGCACGAATTCTATCATCTGGGTGTTTTCCTGTATGGAGAGCACAGAGCCGTGCCCCTTCGAGACGAGTCCACGCGCCCGCAACTCGGCGGGGTGCCTCCGGGGGGCGCCCCTGACTCCCCTACAGCCCTCTTTAGCGCCACCCGCTTTCCCTCCACATCTACGCGGCACTTGTCTGCCGAGCGCCTTTCAGACCCTCTGGCACCATCCAGTGGCAAGTTGGTTGCTGGCGCGTGCGTGGGGGGGGGTTGTTGTGATCCTGTGGCACTCCTTCAAAGAGACCCCAGCCAGGTCCCTGGTACTGTAATACCAAATGTATATTAACAATATGTGGTTGTGCATATTAACACATTCAGAATATTCCTTGCAATTGCTTTGGAAACGATGAATTAGCATTGTATAGCACATAGTTAACGTTTATTCAGAATACATTCTACAGGCTATCCAGTTTGACTGTGTTATAGATCGTAGTGTGTACTTATCAAGACAAATAGCATAGCTCGCTTTTACTGAGACCTTAGCATCTTCAGATGTCCAATTCCATTGGTTTGTGCTTTCTACTTACTGTCCTGTGTACGATTATTTTACATACATGGGTTTTTTTAGAATATTGTTTGGATTATTGAAAGGGAAACGAATGGGATGTTTTTATGGGGGTGTGAGCGTTCTAATTTGCTTTGGGCTAATTGTGCTTCAGCGCGTAGCATAGACTTAATCATTGTGTTAGAGATAGGTGCCTTATTGCATGCTGTGTAGAATTGTATGCCAAGCTGTTGATGAAAATATTTGTAAGGTTTTGGCTAGCTCCTTTTGTTCCTAAACATACTAACCTATGTTTTCCTTTGACTTCATTGATACATTTATTTTGGTTTGGCTTCTATGTATATTAAATATGTTTCCAATATGTTACTATTGTCTTTTAATTTTCCTGTCTATTGATTGGCAACAGTGTAGATAATTAGAGTAAGTTACAACCTGGTTGGTCCATACTTTTGATTGGCCTCTTACCGCAGAGGCTCACCATTGTTCCAGCTGTCTCCCAGGTTTGGAGTGACACATATGGATAAATAAAGGTTGTTGACTGTTCACCCTTGTTTGTGTTACTGCCTGACTGGTAGGGAGCTGGGGTTCTGCTGTGGGTGGGTGTGGAGCGAGAACCACTTGGCGGACAGAGCCCTTCACGGTTCCACTGTAGCTATGATGCTGCTTATTAATCCCTTCAGTATTCATCAGTTGCATATTATACATTAATGTTCATATTTGGCAGACAACCTTGTACAAAGCATGAAATAAAGGCAGGATGTCATCACATTCAAATGGCTGCCTGTCTCTGACTTGCTGGGGCGTTAGCAAGACATATGGTTCCAGGTGGGAGGGCTTCGTGGTGCTAATGATGTTTCCCTCCACAAGCTGCAAGGTCTATTGCCTTCTCTCCAGTTCAGTGTAAGTACCTCAGTATGCTGGATTGATGTGGTTACAGGTTTCATAGTCTATCGCCGCTGGCTTTCCTAGCGTAAGAATAATCATTGGGGCTTGCGGCCAATGACATCACTGTTGATTCCTTGCACCAGGCTGTATGAAGCATGTGATCCCTTGAGCTTTGGTCCTGTGTTCAGTGGCTTTGAGCCTCAGGTGTTGAATGGTTCCAAGGGCATGGATTTGATTAAGGACATGTCCCTACCAATACTGTGTGTGATTAGGGGCTGATTTAGTTCTAAACCAAACGTGTGCTCTTGAATGGATCCCTAGGGGGTAGGATATGGATGTGAGGGTCCATTTCCAAATGATTTCCCTACACAATAATGCTTGGTTGTTCGAATTGCCCTCAAAGAGTTAAAGGATATGTTTTGATAGCTATTTATTCAGTCTCTGAAACTTGGTGCAAGTTACAGACTCAGATGTTGAAGTAGAGTTGCTCATTGCTCTTAGAATTTAGCATCATGCTGCTGTGATATTGATATGTGATAGAGGTGGGCTTCTGGAGTATTTGTACAGTGCCACACACCCTGGACATCTGCATTCAGATTGTCTGACCTACCCCCCCCCCCCCCCCTCACGCCAATGAAAACAATGCAAGCTAGTTAGAATGTGTATTTCGTACTGTGGCAAACTACAATTTAAACGGAATTGCTCTTCCATATCTGAAATTTTGCAGCGATTTGTCCACTAGAGGGCTCTGCTGTATGACTTATATCCAAACACTGCATGACAGTGCATGTGTAGCAAATTTCGCCGAACTCTGAATGCTTTTGTGATGCAGATGTTCAAGATGATGCTCAGATACTGCTGGTTACTTGCAGATCGTGACCACCTGTAGCTACAGGACCTACAACGTCATCAGATTTGTCTATTTGCACTTCTTTAAAAATGTACTTACCGTGCCATTGACGTTGATACTGGTAACTCAGAAACAGGGTACATTGTTTTATTGGTTGAAAGTACTGTAAAGGTTGAGTAAAAATCTAATGTTTTGTCCAAAAATCAGCGTATAAAATTCCAGAAAGCCATAAATACACAAATGCTCTTGCAGGGACCCCTGGCTCTATTTACACATGTACATCAGCTGGCTGTGTGTTCTGAGTGACACACCACTGTCCTGCTCACACATTCATGACGGGTGTGAGCTGCATCAGTGCGCCCTGGGGGCGGGGCTGCTGCGCATTTGGCTGCGTGACCTGCAGGAATTCCTGCTGCTGCAGGCTCGTCAGGGCGTCGCAGGCACTGGGCGTCGCAGGCACTGGGCGTCAGGCTGACCTGAGTCCTGTGGACAGATGGAGGAAGTGGGCTCAGGATACACATGCAGCAATGGAGAGCTCTTATGGAGGTTGGGGGGGTGGTGGTCATGGTCATGTGACCCCTGAGTAAGGCCTTAATTAATCATGTGGGGACTGGATCTGTGGGCTGCTCACCTGGGCGAGTCGACGCCACTGTCCCCTGGGCTGCTGTGGTTCTCCCCTGCCTCTGCTGGTCTGTCCTGATGGGTTTTGATGGCAAATAGGCTGTTGTGGGGCTCAGGTGGCCCCTGGGGTCCATCGTCTAGCCCCGTCCTGCTGGCTTCTCCCCTGGGTGGCAGGCTTGGGGCTTCTGTGCTGATGGTCCACACCTGAGAAGTCCACCTGGCCCCACCTACACCCCGGGTCTCGGGTGATTGACCCGCATTGGGGCCACTGCAGTGGCCCTGGCGAGAATCTTCCCTAGCATCGCCAGGGAAGCCCCTGCCCGGCGCTGCGCCACTTCCCCCCCCCAGAGCGGTGTGGGAGGCCTGGCTGTGGGCGGTGCACATCTGAGATGTTGCACTGCAGTCGGTCACGGAGCCCTCGTTCAAGTAGAGGGAGCTGCAGGTGTCACCCTCTGGTGGCCCGTGGTGGAGCTTCCTGCCAGTGTGGGGCCCTTGAGGCACAGAGATGTCCATCTCTCCGGTCTGGCCACACACACTCCTGCGGTCTGAGGTCCTGCCCTGTTTGGTGTCCTCCAGCCTCCCATCCAGGGAGGTCCTGCTCCTGGTTTTACTCTGCTTCAGTTTGTCCTCTATTCTCAGCGTGCTAGCGTCAGGGTAACCAGGACTGCACTGCCCACCAGGGCTTGAGCAAAGGCCCTCGTAGGGCTGCTCTATTACGGCGGACGATCTGCCGGGGTCTGTCTGACAGGGATCCCAGGACTTTGACCTGTGGCTGACCCGGATCGCCCTGTCAGGCAGCTGGGCCTTGCCATCCCTCCTCCTCTGACCCCGGTGGCCATGTTTGTGTGCCTTCTCTCTTCCCTGGAAGGGGTTCTCAATGCGCTTCTTGTCCAGATCCTTGCCATCTCCACAAGGCTCCATGCGCCGCTCATTTGCGGCTGCCACCGCCACCACTACCGCGGCGTCCCCTTGCTTCCCACCGGCAGAGCGCCCTCTCCGCCTGCTCCGGCTGGCCTTGGCGGCCTGCGGCTGGGGGCCCTCCGTGGAGGTGCCCTTGTGCTCCCCTCGTTCCTCCAGCTTCTTCATGAGCACGGTGTGCTTGGCCAGGTTGTGCACGGTCAGCGCAGGGTTGATGCGCAGGATGATGGCATGCTCCAGGTCGCGCGGCAGCTTGTTCAGGTCATCCTCGTCCCGCACCGGCCACTCCTCGGGGGGGAACTGCCCGGAGAAGGCAGCCAGCTCCTTCTTAGCCCTGTCCTTCTTGGCCGGGTTGCGGCGGAAGAGGCTGAAGCCAAAGCGGCGCCCAGGCTTGTCCTCCTGCACGCGGCTGCCGGCAGGCGTGCTCGTCCGGCTCCCCTGTCGGTCCAGGGCCGTGGAGGTGGACCGGTGCTTCACGGAGGCCCGGGGCTCGCTGGGTGGCCCGAGGCTCTTGCTGGCGTGCTCGCTGAAGCAGCTGCAGGAGCCGCAGTGGGCTGCAGCCGCGGCCGCTTCCATGCAGCTCTCGGTGCTCAGCAGGTAGGTGATTGGAGGGGGGGACGGCAGGTCATCTTCCTCGGAGGGCCGGCACCGCTGGTGGGTGATGAAGTATGTCTGCGGGGTGACGATGAAGTAGCCCTCCCCTGTGTGGTAAATCTTCCTGTCCTTGATGAGGGAGCCCAGCGCGCTGTGCAGGATGTCCGGCCCTGGGATGGCCATGCCTGGGTGGACCGGGCGCGATAGTTAGCGGCCACTGTAAAGGTGACTCTCCCCCCGGGCGGCTTTGTGACACCTACCTGGGTGGGCTCTGGCCATGTGGCTGAGCAAAGCCTCTTGGGTGACGGTGACGTGGGCGTCATTCATGTCTGAAATGACGGAGCACAGCACCTCTGACAGAGGAATGAACTGGGACTGTGTTATGGGGCTCATCTGTACAGGGCTTAAGTCACCTGCGGGGACAATGCAAAGATGGCTGGGTCAAAGGTCATGGGATACAGGAAATGCTTCCTCTGCAAAACATGGACATTCAGTCTGCTCGCTGCCCCCACCAGGTCAAAGGAGGTAAGGACAGGATGTACATCAGCTGTTTTTTTTCTAACATGCAGAATCTTTCAGATTATATTTGAAAACTACTATTTTTTTTTTCTTATACCTCTGCAGTTAGTACTGGTGAAATCAGCAGTGTACAGTGGAATAAATACTAATATTAGCCTTCTAACTCGGTTAAGCTAGGCGTGATGCACACTAACTAGCGATGTCATAAAATGCACCGTAATCACGCTTTCAAGACCCGTCTGAATGCTCTCTGCCACTCATACAGCTTTTCTCCAATTTACAAATTTATATTGTAGCAGTCAACTGATAAAAAGAAATGGTCACTCCACGGCTGGTGAAGCTGAAAGTATGACTCTGCCCACACTGTACCTGATTGGTTGAGCTATGTGTGGATTCACTGGTCAAAGTTCAATTGAGATGAAATTGCTGCCCCAGACGTGAGGAATCTGAATAAGACATGAATATTTTTTCACGCTAGTGTGACCACACCTCACCTCTATACACTCATCTTCTCCCTTGCTAGGTGTTTAGTTGGGAATGAAACGCTGGCACACAAGCGGATGTAGGGGAAGGTGGACAGTCTGCCTCCCAGTAGGGATACACAGCTCAGGACAGTGTGTATGGTAGTGGTGGTCAGTGACAGGGACTTATTGGGGGGGGGGGGCTTCCCAGCTGTCACTGGATATCCTGCTCTAATTCCGCTCATTGTTCGAGAGATTCTAAGGAAAAACTGGAGATGAAAAGAACCCCAGGAATTAGAACTGGGAGAAGGGGGGCAGTGTCCTTTCAAAGCAGGCTCTGTCCCAGTGTGCTGAGGGGACCGTGTCCTCCAGGTGAACGGCATCCTGTTTGTGACGGTTGGGGCAGTAGTCATGATGGGCTCTAACTGGCCTGTGGCTGACTTTCTGCGCTGCTGGTAACTGGAGGACGTGCGTCACACACACACAGGGCCTTTGTCGCATGCAGCGAGTGGTCGCAGGCTGCCATGGCAACCGCACGTCATGCCAGGAGCCACGAAAAGGCCCCCACGACCCCCTCCCCGGCTTTGTGTGTGAGGTCTGGCCAGCTCTGCTCTGGTCTGCTCGGTGCGTTTGATGCAATCTTGCTGGAGATGAAGTATGAGGTTTCTAATGGCACCAGTGTAGCAGGAAGTGACATTGAGGCCAGGGAAAAACCGGGAAGCCTGATCAGTGTGAGGGGAAGCCCGTTTCCAAACTGCGATCTCAGAACTTAATCCTAATGCTTATGTAGACCAGTGCGTGGGCAGGCTTGAGACAGTGTTGTTTTGCCGTGTCGTTCTGGCAAAATGCTGCTACTCCCTCCCTGGGGCATGCTAGCCGCCTGTTTTGTTGGAGATCAGCTCTGGTTTCGGTGTTCATGTGGGAGCCGAACAGGTTGAACAGGGCGCTGTGCCAGGCAAGGGCCACTGGGTGGTGACTTCCTGTGCTGCCCACCTGACAGCCCTGGCTTTGGAATCCCTTGCAGGCCATGGGAGGCGGGAACACTCCCACGGCAGGAATTACCTTAAAGCAGCTTACACATTCACAGAGGTGACATCCTTTATTCTTTAGCTCCATCAGAAATGGTTAACTGCCTGGAACAAGTTGCAGGTGTGGGTGAGGGGGGGCAACTGGGAGTGGCAGGAAAACTAGCTTTTGAGCCTGAATGTTGTGGGTTCTAATTCCAAGGTCAGCTGAGTGCCCTTCAGCAAGGCCATTAACCTGCAGTCTGACCCTGCTCTCCCTAACATGTGCATGTCGCTCTGGGTAAAAATGTCTGCATATTAAAATCAACACACAACATCAGCCAATCCTTGCCCGGGGTGTCTCTAAACGTATAGATGAAATGGTGTTTTGCTTGTGTTTAACCCTTGATTCTAGAATTTGGGAAGGCTTAAGACCCCGACTGAAGACAGTGCCTCCATCGTCATCGGAAAATGATATCCCGTCTACCAGACATGGAGAGCTGTCCACTCACAGTCAATGCCACGACTGGTGAACTTCAACCGCTTCACAAACACTCTCCTGTAGCTCAACAAGTTGAGCATTATGCTAACAAAAGGTTGTGGGTTCAAATCCCTTGGTGCACACACATTCCCTCCCATGTGGGGTGACCCCAAAGTGTGAATGTGCATTCTGTCTCCTGCTTAATGCATCACAAAAGGCATGGGAATGGCCTGAGTCTAGCAAGGTGTCGCCCCCCCACCGTCACCCTCCCCCACAATCCTGCCATTTACGCTCCCCCACAGACGATGGACACTTAACACAACACGGTGGACCACCTGGTAGACACAGCGGGGCCATGGGTCCTGCATTTCATACCGCCATGCAAGCCCATGATGTGACCCTCATGCGGCCACTCCTGCCTCGGGGACTTCCTTCAGACTGAACAAACAGCACAAACACTACCTGTTATAGCGCTGGAGTATGAATTTCATCACCACATGAAAGCGGCTAGAGCGCCAGCCACACATTCTGAAGTTTCCCAACTTCAACAACTGGGTGTGTCTTGGTCAGCTTGCAAGCGAAAACAGAGACAGTTTATCGGTGCTTCACCCCGCGATCACCGCCCCCCCCGTCTTAACTTGCACTGCTTTTCATACAGGAAACGGACTGAGGCGGCGCTGGAGGACGTACCCACGGCTCTAATGACGAAGCCCGTCGGAGACCTTAGCGCCCGGCGCATCCATGCTTCCCGCAGCACTTCCACATGGTCCGCGGCTCCCTGCACCAAAAGCACCAGATTCTCCAGCCATCCCTGGAAGCTCACACCCGCTACCGCTTTGACAAGCCTTTTATTCCAAAAGCTGCGCAAGTTTTGCGCCTGAAAGTCTTCGAAGATGTCCTGTCCGCTCCGGGCGTGAGTGCCTTGCGCCTCCACACCGCCTCCAGCGCGCTGACCGCTCCGGCCCAAGACCAGCGCCAGTGACGCTGCGGACAGCTGCACAACCCGCTGAGGCTGCGACATTGTTTCACCTTCGATCACATTCAAATAAACTTCGTATGGGATCACAAATGTGTCCGGAGCGCCTCCCGCATAGCGAGACTCGGCCGTCGCTCGTAGTTCGCTAGTATTCCTACGGAACGCAGCAACTGAGTCGCCTCGCGAGCGCTTCCAAGGTAACGGGGATGACGCGCAGGAGGCGGTGCCAGGCGTGAGACACCAGCCAATCGTTAGCTGAAGATACGGGCGTGGGCGGGGCCGTAAGCTCCCGAAGTCAGGTGCATAGTGGCGTTCAGGGTCTGCGAAGTATCGAGTGGCTTATTGTGTAATGTTCCCAACTACTAATGCTCGTGTTGTCCTTGGTGGAACAATGCCATTGCATACTGTGGCTTTGCGTTTGCAACATTAGCCGCTTTGGAATTTACACTGCACTAATGGTGTGGTATTGTCTATGTATTATTTATTTGTAAACTATTAGTTGTTTTTAGATAAGCAGGGAATACAGTGTTATTTACAATAGTACACGTCCTGCGTCAGTGTGGGACGTGTACAGCCTCCCACACAAAGCCCTCTTTGTTATTGCTGTCTGTGAGTCCTGTTCCCTAGGTGCACAGGCATTGTCAACAGCCAAGAATCAGAAAGAGGCACCGATGGACTATAACACGCTGGTCGAGGGTAAGCCGAGAGAGCTAGTGAGCTTCTTCAGTTTGCCTTCAGTTTCCCAGTGGTTTGTAACTTGTCCAATCTTTTGAAATGTTGTAGTGTTCTGTGCAGATAATAGAGAGACAGTCTATAAATGTTTGTTGTTACAAACCTGTGTTGGGTTTGTTTATGGGGATGTGTGTGTGTGTCTGTGTGTTCCTGCTGTTGGCCTGCATAACATCGTAGCATCTATACTGAGTGCAGCTTCAGTAAAGCATGTCACGCGGCATTTCTCGCTTTGTTAGGCCACAGTGTGGCTGCATAAATTGCTGTGCGAATTATCATGATGGCCAGAGGCGGATAGTTCAGTTCCAGAAAGTGACAATCTAGACCAAGATATTGTTTCAACCACCCAGTTCAGTATAGTCGCAGTAAAGAGTAGCCTACTCAACTGGTCGGTTGAAACAAAACTTTGATTTGGATTTTTATTTTCTGGACCTGAACTATCCACTGCTGATGATGGCGAAGTCCCAAGAGAACCGTGTAATGCTTGTGTATCAGTGTAATGCTTGTGTCTCTTAAATGGAAATGTTGTGTATCAGTGGTTATAAACTACGAAATGTATGCGTGTATTTTCTTCTCTGGTGCAGCACTATAAACCAACTATATATATTTCCTATTAAAACAATTTAAATATCTTCCAGGTCTCGGCGGTAGTACATTCTCTTTAAAGTTCAAGTTCACACCTGCGTGATTTGAAGACAATTTTTCATGCCTTGAAAGTCCAGCTTCTCCCGCGGCCGGTTACAGCAAAACTTAATATCTGATTCTCTTATATTTTCTAAATCTTTGCCGTAAGAAGGCAGACCAGGGGCGGATGAGGTGTCTTCCAGCACTGGATCGGGGTTTTGCAGTATTCGCCTGCCAACCCGTGGAGAGGGGCGTGTTCTCGGTAAATTGTTCCGAATTTTGCGTGATCGCTTTTTTAAAAAAAAAAAAAAAAAAAAGGGGGGGGGGGGGGGGGGGGGGGGGGGGGGAAAAAAAAAAAAAAAAAAAAAAAAGAGGGGGGGGGGGGGGGGGGGAGGGGCGGACGGAGGTGTGAATAAATATAAAATATAAAATTACTATACATGATATGAAAAATAGAAAATTCTAATATTCTTGCTTGGTGTCAGTTTCTGTTCTTGACGCGCATTTGTCAGTCATTTTGAGAATGAAACCAAATTCTTCTGGGAGATTCTAGGATTTGACAGAATAACGGGCGGTGGGCGGCAGAGTGGTGCAGCGGTTAGCACTACTGCCTCACACCTCTGAGACCAGGGCTCAAGCCTCCCTGCCCAAAAAGGCCAGCATATACCCTGGATCTCCCCTGCACGCAGTTACAGAAACTGGGTGGATCAAGGTAATGCTGATGACTTAGAATAGCAGAATGGATGCTTTGAAATGGTGGTGCTTGAAATAATTGTTCTTCCTTTGTTAATCGTGGTTACCTGCAAGGAAACACATGCAGTCATCATTGCATTGCACCAAAAAGGGCTTCAATGGCAAGGATGTTACTGTTAATAAGATTGCACCTAAAATCAACCATTTATCAGATCATCAAGAGCTTCAAGGAGAGATTCAATTGTTGTGAAGAAGGCTTCAGGACACCCAAGAAAGTCCAGCAAGCACCAGGAGAGTCCCTGCTTTTTCTTCTGTGCTACTTGGAATCAGCACCAGATTCCCTTTGTGTTGTATAATCAGTATATAGGAAGATGCATAAGCAACTTTTTTTTTAATTGAAAATTATTTTCATTAAGAGGCTGTAATTATATTCAAATATTTTATTGATGCTAGTCTATTTACGATTTTTTTAAAAATTGCATAAATCGTTTAAGAGTCTGAGAAGGATGTTGAACTTCTGCCCAAAGCTCTGGTGACAGCGGTGGTCTAACTCTCTGCTCTCCCACCTCCTATCTGCCACGTCGTCCACCTTCAGCACACTTCACTTTGCCGCCGACCCCTTAACCTTGCCTGCTTTCCGGTCGTTCTTGGCCAGCTCTTCTGCAATACTTCAGTTTTGTGTGCAGTCTCCACATTGACACCATTCTGCTGACACTTCGTCCGCAAAATTTTTACCTGACCCACCTCAAAATTTTACATAATTTTCATTTAAATTTAATCTATCCGTACCTCAGAGATCTTTTGCAGTGGTGCTTTAATTCTGAGCCTAGTTTGATGACTATCTGCAGACTTTATTGTAATCTTCACTTCCTCCAGATCAGTCACCATCACCTCGTGCATGTTTACGCTGTAAAACTTCCCAGTCTAGTTAGCTGCTGGTGTTTCTGGGGAGTATTCTTTGTCATCTTCCCAGCTGTTGATTTTGTCCCACTTGCCAATTTGTTGAGTGACCATCAGTTTGGTTTTAGAGTAAATAGGTCCACTTTTATGGCAGTTATGCAACTGGTAGAAGGGGTATCCACTGCAATGGATATACAGTGGGGGTGCTTCTAGACTTAAAAGCATTTGATACTATTGATCAATGCTTATTAATGAAAAAAAATGGAGAGATATGGTATTACAGGGGCAGAATACTCTTGGCTAAGAAGCTATCTTGACAGTATATATCAATATGTAATGATATTTATGTAAAATCAAATTTGTTGAAGGTTACTTGTGGGGTGTTTCACAAGGTTCAGTGCTAGGTCTGAAGTTATTTATACTGTATCTAAATATTTGTAAAGTGACTACATTGTTAAAATTTGTTTATTTGCTGATGACACTAATACATATTGCTCTGGGAAAGTTAGGAACGGCTTCTGAATATAATGGAAAGTGAATTGAAAGTCTTAAAGAAATGGTTTGATATTAGCAAACTGTTATTAAAGTAAAATGAATTTAATAATGGCCAGAGGGTGGTCTTGCTGGGGAGCACAGCACATCTTCCCAGTCAATAACCCCTCCCCACTTGTCCTAGACTGAGCAGTCATTTGTCCAGCTTACTGCATGCTTTCACCATTTGCTTACTTCTGAATGAGGAAAAACAACATAAAGGAATCGTCAGTCACTCCTAACACATGGAGTACAAATGTGCACAGACCCACACCTGTGCATTCAACCATTTTATGACCGCCTAGAACAATTAAATTTTTACAGATTACAAATATACTGATTTTACTCTTGAAATAGATCGTATATTTTAAATAACATGCATATTTGACAAATACGAAATAACTTGAATATATACACGATAAAATAGGACAATTAAGAATTGAGACTCATCTCGTCATCATGCTCCGCAAACGTGCTTGATGGGTTTAGTACGCACTTTTTAGTGTGCTAATCAAAGCCGTGTTCAGTTCCATCAACCATGACATCAAAGGTAAACAATCTATATGGATGACCGTCATTCAAATAATTTTACAATCTATTTTCATTATAATATTAATATATTTTATAGTTTATTAACCGAGAATAGTAGAAAATAGCGTAACCGTGATGAGCTGATTGATTTAAAGTCCTCCACACCCCCCACTGGTTCTTTAGTGCGTCTTTTCTTTTCTTATTGTTTTAACGTAAAGTATAACAGAGCTTTGCTTCACAAGCCCACATGTTTCTGTGCCAATACGGCAACACGTCAGGACCACGGTACATGTACTTCCATTTACCATGAACAACTTTTACGAAATTGTAAATGGTCTGTCTGCATGAAGGGGGGGGGGGGGGGGGGGGGTGTTAGAAACACAAACACAGAGTTCTGGTTTAGCAGTATTTAACGATTACTCGGAGGATTCATCAAACACACTGGTGCAGTGAGTACCAAACACATCTTTACCTCCTTTTGGTTCTTCTACAATAAATGCCGCAACATGTCTGTACTCTACTCCATTACTCATAGTCAATAGTCTTTTGTTAGTTAAATCAATACTATACTTTCTCTCCAGTTATGAGAAATGAAATCAAACGGCTTTGGCAGATCCGATTTTCCCCGACAGAGTGGCGGTGATCCAAAGGTCGCCTCCAGGTTTAGTAATAGTACACCGCTTGGCAGCGGCAGTTTTAAAGACGCCGACGTAACTGCAAAGGCCATTTTGAGTGCGGGAGGTAAGCGGAGTAGCGTGAAACCCGCAGAAAGGCAGCCCTGAGCGTGCGCAGTACCCTTTTTGACCACAAGAGGGAGATACATCAACAATGTGCATATGAAAACACACCACTGCCAGATAACCCAGTCAGATAACACAGGCGGCCGCCAATTTCTGAGGGAAGTCGATTTTGCAAATCGCATGCGTTGGGACTAATATTATCACCGCACACTGTCCGAGACGAAGTAAAATTGCCCGGTAAAGTTTGCCTAGAGCGCCACAAGGGCTTCGACCAATACTGAACCCCCCACGATGTTCAAGCATTCAAAACAACATAAAGCAGGTAACACATGTAATGTTTTAATACACATCATGTCCAGGTTAAATCACAACAAACTGAGAAAAAAAGTGAACTATAGCCTATATGCCACGTGTTGTCACCGTTAGAACTAATTGTCTGCCTGATTTCTTAATGAAAGCGCCAGCGCTGTACATTAATGAGGCTTTGAAGCAAACGTAGTATCGTACGATACCCTTTCAGAAGCTGAATTGGTTTACTGTCCTTTTGTATCTTTTGGCACTACATGTGTGAAATCGCAGCACTTTCTATTGCAAACCTGGCTCCATCTCTCTCACTCTAATCTGCGGCTACTGCTTTCAAGCCAGCCCCCCCATCACCACTACTTTTCATGACACGCATGGAAGACAAAAACTTACCGTAGACGCGCTTGCTTTCTGCATCAGATACTCCCCCTTTCATGTCGCGTTACAGAACAGCGGCTGCGATTATATTATTTCCTATTTACTGAATAATCTCCACAAGGGGGCAGCAGATCCCATAGAATTAACCTATATGAACTGGTCTTGGGTTTGTAATTGATTAGCGCAAAATTGGTGTACAATCAATCAATCCAGGAAGCCAAACCACAGATACTTAATTTAAAATTGACTACAATGTGTGCTTGATAATAGCGTTAATTTAACCCTATACTTGACAAAGAGTCAAGACTCAGCTGGCATGGTAAAAATTGGGTCCTGGTCCAAAAAGAACCACTGCTCTAAAGTGCTTGCTTTGTGACTGTTCAGTTCATGATGGCACAGGACAAAACACTTTTTTTTCCATCAGTTTATTATTGGTTAAAGACTCAGGAAGTTTCACCACAAACATAAATAACACACTTATTGCTAAAGTGGAGCTCTACACACAAACAAAAAGTGTGTACGGTCAAATAACTGCAAAGCAAAGGCTGCTTAGCATAGTTAAGAAAAGAACCAGTTCAGTTAAAATCGTTAGAGAAGAATCTGGAAACAGAACTGTATTGGTAAACAAAATTCTGTACATGGCCACAGCAGTGACACCTAACCCACATGTACAAAGGGCTCAGTCCTCTGAGCCGTTGGTTTGTACTTTAGGGACGCTCTCTTCCTCAGGAAGGTCCTAGAGCACAGAAGGCCTCCGTCAGTGTATTTGCAGCAGGGTGACATTAACATCAGTGCCCTATACTACAAAGTGGGGTTATTGGCTTATCGGGTTAACTTGTCGGATTTAAGGTACCACAGTTTAAATGGACTTCATATTCGTTCACTTACATTTTGCCCAGACCACCTTAAATCCGTCACGTTACCCCGATAAGCCAGTAACCCCAGACCTCTGACTGGGGAAGCTCACCTTTCTTAACACGCCCTGCAGTTCCTTCATCACCGTTGTCAGGCTGCACACGGTCTTCTGCAGCTGGTCCTGTAGGCAGCTCTGCGTCTCCTCTGTGGTCGCCAGTGTCCTCTGCGTCTGGCCAAGGCTGCTCTTCAGCTCCTCCACCTCTCGCAGTAGGTTGCCGTTGGCACTTTCCAGCTGCGATGTCACCTTTGCGTCCTCCTCTGCGAAACAGGCGTAGAAAATGAAATTATTGCACCACACTGTCAGAGAAAAAACAACTTGTACCTCTGCTTGCCAATTGTACCCTAGCTGTAGGTAACTGTACCTTTTAAGGTAGAGAAATGGACACTGAGGAACATCCCCAAGGTACAAACAACATTAACGTGCCCCCAATGGTACAAAATTGTACTTTATAGTTAATTTCTGTACCTTAAAAGGTGCAATTACATTCTTTGACTCCCTAAGACTTTTGCACAGTACTGTACATACAGGTGAGAGTGTAACTTGGGGTCCAAGCGCAGGATCAGAACATTTATCCAATGCCCCTGGAGAACTGAGGCCTCAATGGAGTTGAGACTACAGACGCTCCCTGGGTTACGATGGTCCGCGTTACGATATTTTGACTTTACGATGCTTAAATGTCTTTCACTTTCAGTACATTATTCAGTAAATTCACTGAAATGTTCAACACTTTATTATAAAACAGACTTTGTGTTAATGATTTTGCACAACTGTAGACTAAAGTAACCGTTATAAGCATGTTTAAGGTAGGCTATAGGCTAGGCTATGATGTTTGATAGGTGTATTGTATTAAAATGCATTTTTGCCTTACGATAGGTATATCAGAACGTAAGCCTATTGTAACCTGAGGAGAGGCTGTATTCTGCTGAGGCTGGGATTCGAACCAGTGACCTTCTGATCATTCAGCCAAACACCGCTAGTCATGGTCAGGAGCGGCACTCAGGACGCACAGCGACAGTTGTTTGTACCCATTTTAGTGTCCTGCAGCATCAGCTTCTGCTCGATCTCCTCTCTGGCTCTCTCGCTCTTGTCCAGCTTCTGCAGTACGCTGCCGACGTCCACCATGGCGCCGTTGTACACGATCAAGCCGCCCGACTCGTTCGGCTCCCCCTTCACCTTGCAGGATGGCAGCAGCGCCCTGTTTCCTGTGCAGACAAGGAACACTGAGTACAGGCGTGTACCACTGGGTGCCACTGGGCACCAGTGGGAGACACCTGGCTTCAGCTCGTACCAGAAAGGTTGTCAGGTGACTCCTCGCTGATGGGCGGGGCAGCCTCATCTTTTGCTTGGTCAGTCAGCTTCCGGTAGAAGCACGATTCTCTGATCAGGGGCTTATTTAGCAATTTCTTGACCTGAACACAGATGCCAAGCAAGTGAGTCACAAGAAGTTACTGCAAGAGCTGGTGAGAGTGAAATCCCAGCATTCTCTGCGTCATGAGCTACCTGAGCACGAGAGAGGTGCAGCCCCAGTGTGTACATGATCTCCTCCAAGTCCTTCTCCAGGAGGTAGCCACAATGGCTTTGATCGAAGTACACGAAGGCCATGAGGAGATCTTTGTCGTGTGTGATCATCTGCTTCTTCTCCTTTTCCTGCAATGTCAAGAAAGTCTTTAGTGGGGGAAACTGCCGATTATGACTGACCGTGACCAGCATTAGCCGTAAGCAGCTCATAGGCGTAATTAGCGTAACATTTTCTGTGTTGAACTTACTTGTGAACTTAGGCTCCGCCCATGTCAATAAATGCATTCATTTGTTTTAATGTGCGTACCGAACGCTACATGGCAAATACGTGTATCATTACGGCCTTTGTCTTTAGCATTTCTGCTACAGGAGGCAGGAAGGCTCACGATGAGGTCAGTATGCACCTTGTCTTTGGAGGAGCGCTCTCTTGACTTCCTGTCATCTCGACGGTCATCCCTCCGGTCTCTCCCATCAGAGTCTTCGTCATCTTAAATTGGGGGGGGGGGAGACGGCGGTTATTCTACATCACACTGGATAAACGCTAGCCGTCAGGGCTCCCCTCCTTACCCTCATCATCCTCAGCCTCTTCAGCCTCCAGGGGGTCATACTCCTCCGCATTCGTGGTGCTGTCCTCGTCCTCATCTCTCGACTCCTCTTTCCTCAGTGTTCTCTCCTTGTCTTCCTCCTTATATGACGGCGAAACGAACATTCAAGCGACCGAAGCCTCGTGCTCCGACCCACGCTGCCCCGCCCTGCTCAGCCGTCGCCTCCACCCACCCTCTTGTCCTCTCGGCCTTTCTTCGCAGACGGCTCTCCGTTCTCCTCCTCCTTGTCTCTCTTAGTGTCTTTCTTCTCTGCCTCCTTCTTGCCCTTAAGGTCCCTCTTGTCCCGCTTGTCTTCTTTGATCGGGACTGCAGCCAAGGCTTTGTAGATCCTGTAACCGAAGTCCCGCTGCAGCATCTCGTTAAACAGCTCGGCAAACAGGGACACCTGCAGGACGAGGAAATTCCGGTGTCACAATCACCATGTATTTAAACGAAAGCACACAGGCAATAAAGTTCCTGATATAGATACAACAGACAAACCAAAATTATGGTGAGCAATTCTGGAAACAACAGCGTGGAATGAATGTTATGTCAAGCCAAACATAGCCGTAAGCAAACAAGGTTCAGGGATGTTTAGCTGCACAGGTGTGCTCCTTAACAAAGGCTAATTGCTCACCAAATCCAGAGCTCGTATTGCATAACAAAGCGTTTTTACATCGGTAATGCTTCTCTATTTATTTCGCACTACTGCCTGAATGTACACTACTACACAAAAGTCTTAAGCAGCCAAAGGAAAAAAAAAAGCCATTGACCTGGTTAGTATGTGTGTTGAGAGGAAAAGAAACAATTATTAGTAACAATAAAAACAAAAAATTCTCGTTCTCCAAAAAGTTCCTGATTATCTTGTTGGACGGCTAGATGAACACCGCTTCAGTTCCCAAACCTCTCTTCAGCGGCACACCGGCCATTCCATGGATTCATTACATTTCTCAACCAGCTCACTCAGTTAAGTCAGTGAGATATTGATTAGCCAAACAAGGTAAGGTAGTGGTCGAGTCAAAAAAATACATTACTGGGGTAACATTTTGAAAGCTGAGAGTAAAATGCTGACATCTTATTGAAGACCAGACTCAGGCTCGTCAGCTACACCTGGACCCTGTGGATGACTAACCTGCATAATATTTTATAATACTGGACAGGTCTTTCTTGTGGGTCCTGTTTGAAGATCTCCAACCTACTGTTATTTTCCTCTGCTTCTGCACCTCATCCGCACGCACCATGAGTCACAGGATCAGGTACAATCAGTCACACCTCCTCACGCCAAACACAATCTCCAGGCTTCAATCTGAGGGGCTCAGGATCATTGAACTGCATCAGCCACTCATTTGTCTCGGAGGCAGCTGCCCAGTAAGAACACAAACTGACATTATGTCTTACGTTGTACAAGAGATGCCAGAGGAGGCAAACATCTGACCAACTCCATTACAAGACTGAGCCTGGGCCCACTGAAGACAGATGCAGAGAAGGTACTGGAAAAATTGGAGAACATCCTGAACAATTCTGGACATCCCCCCCCCCCCGGAGCACCTTTATCCAATGGCTCATTCCACAATGGTGCTAAGAAGGACTAGGGAGGATCCTTCCAATCGACACACCTCAGACACCACAATGCCCCCTTCAGACATGCTAGGGCACAGCATCAACCGTAACATGTCAGGACATTTTAAACATAACGACCCACAAAACTATGTATGACTATATATATATATATATATATATATCTGTGCACGTCACGTTCTTTGGTGATGTATATAAACAAAATTCCCCTGGGATGAAGTGTGTCTGTCTGTTTATCCAAGGTTGTGTACCTGTACTTGTCACGCATTTAAATTTTCTTAAACGGTGCTATGTTTCATTCTGAAAATGTCTCACAAACAAATGCGCGTCAAAAACAGAAACTGACACTACACGACAATATACCAGTAAACGGAGACGCCTGAAATCAGACGCACAAATAACCGATGGCAGAATTATTTTGAGAACGAAACCAGCCTCTCTTTCTCTTCATCTAATTAGACATGAAATGGCAAGAACAACAAAATCAGAAAATGAATTAAAAAAAGTTACAGTCCACGCATGGAGACAAATGAAATAACAGAAAATGTTAAAAGAGCGAGTTATTCAAAGAATAAAATATTTATGTCTCCCCCATAAATAACGACCAGAAATTATGCCGGAATAAGAAAATAAGGAAACAGCGGCAATGTCCTAATTGTTCTTAATGCGTCTTTGACAGTGAGAAAAAAATTTAAAATCAATAAGCGCACGCATGAGCATACGGAAAAGGCTTAGATAAGTGGCTCGGAGTTTTAACACAACACACTTTACAATTATTACATTATTCATTACCCTTGATTCTGTATATTTTCCGTGTCTTTGTCTGCGTAGGGAGTACAGGAGCCTCCCCACTAGCATCTCAATGTACAGATGTCTGTCACATTGTGTAATGATAAATAAAAGACGTTTACTACAAATAGCTCTGCTTTCTTACGCTATCTAACTTTATGTTCATGTAAATATACATAATATAAACATAATTAATCTAATCTATATATTTAATATAATTCATATTTCATTCTAATAAAGTTCTAATGTTTAGAAAAAAACGGATAAAATATAATTGTGAAAAAGACTGAATGAACATTTCGGCATCACTGCAGTTCTGCTATAACTGGCCGTAGTAGATGCTGGATTCTCGGGTGGCACCCGATTGGCACCCCCACCAAAAGGTCGACTGTTTGCGGTCAGGGAGACGCCAGCATGCACTACGCCAAATGGCACGGGTCTCTGGCGCTGGAGAACTGCGCCGATGGGGCAGGGGGTGACTCTCACTGAGAGGAAGTGCCACTGGGACAGGGGGGTGGCTATGCATACTTGTGATTCTTAGCAGAGTAAAATATAAACAAACCACTAATGTCACATGGGCAAAGGCATATTAATAACACAATGCAAGAATATCCATCTACACATCCATCCCACTTGTCTTATTTAGGGTCGCGGGGGGATCTGGAGCCTATGCCGGAAGCAAGGCAGGGAACAATCCAGGAGGGGGCGCCAAACCATGGCAGGCCACGCACACTTTCGCACACACGGGCAATTTGGCAACTCCGATTCACCTTAGCATGTTTTTGGACTGTGGGTGGAAACCTGAGCACACAGAGGAAACCCCACGACGACACGAAAAGAACATGCAGACACGCCAGGGTGGACACTCGAACCTCAGTCCAAGAGGTATGAGGTGACAGTACTAACCGCTGCACCACCATGCCGCTACACGCAAGAATATATGATGGCAAAATTTGCGAAGACAAAAATGACATAAAAAAAAAATGACCACCCAAATTAGCATGTGAAAACCGAATGAATAACATCGGAGGAGAATAGGTTACCCTGGTTCAGCCGCCCAGCAGGTACTAACAGTCAGGCACAGTGAATACAGGAAACCGACAAGCTGATCTGTCACTAAGAACCTTAGTTGGATCGGTAGCTGACCTCTGTAAAATGCAGTTTAAGGGTAAGATCTTATTTTATGTCATTCAGCACTAACAGGTTGGTTTTTCAGGACAATGAAGCAGCAAATACGTCTCTGACGATGTGTCAAACGAAGCAGGGGCTGACAGCAGTCACATGCCCCCCCGTAAGGGTGGTGTGTAGGGTGTCACTCGCCTCGAAGGAGTGCTCCTTGTTGTCTTCGAGCCGGTAGTCCAGCAGCACGCTCAGGGACATGATGCTACAGTCGAACTTGCCATTCTTGGCCCCCCAGTTGGGATGGACGATGATGCTCGGCTCCTCCGGCAGGATGTAGCGTCGCTCCCGCCGCTGCCTCTCCTGCTCCTCTAGCCGCCTGCGCTCCTCCTCCTGCAGGGGGGGGGGGGCACAGAGCACCGTTCTCTGCCGTGTTAACTAGGGTTGCAAAATTCTGGGAAGTTTTTGTTAATCCCTATATATTCCCCTTAATTGCCCTGGAAAGTTTCCAACTTGGAATATTTTCAAAGTTCTCCAGGTTAACTTCCCATGGAATGGAACGTTTCCAGAAAGTTTCTGGAAATTTTCCACCCCTTTATTGCACTAGTGTTAAAGAAAGCTTCTGCCTACCCCTATCATAACATAGTACAGTCTATGCTGTTTTAAGCTAAGGGCCCACTCCCCTTCACCCCACCCCAAGGAGTACCTCTCGGTCGTCCTCCGTGCGGCCCGCCTCCTCCTCCTCCGCAGGTCCAGCCTCGGGCTTCTCTATCTCCTTGGTCTCCTCAACTTGTTCCTCCCCTTTCAGCTGCTTGGTCAGTCGTGCAATCAGCTGTGACTTCAGCCCCTTGGAGCTCAGTGACCTGCTCTCTAGCTCCTTCCGCAGGTCGCTCACCTATATGACAGCCCCCCCCCACACATTACGCCTTCTGAAAGATAGCCTAATGGGATGCTGGAATACCCGGACCTCTCAAACACTTGTACCTTCATTGTCTTGGGGTCCAGCTTGGACCAGTGGGTCGGAGTCGTGACTTCCTTGGAGTCATCCTCATCTTTCTCTTCCTCCTCCTGAGGGATGAGATGTTCAGAGAGACGACAGAGTGTCAGTGGCCTGCTCTCCTACCCTCGGGATTGTGACACAAAGCTGATCCGTGCAAGTAGCATGGTCACAAATGAGTCTCTCTCTCCTCCTAAGTGCTCGATTGGGTAAGCATACATTTCTAGGGCACATACAGGTTTTCTAGCCTCTTACAGAGCAAAATGCCACCATCAGCCAATCAAAGCCAGGTCTGTGGAACACAAAAAGGTAATCAGTGATGACAGGTCCAAGCAGGGGATTAGGGTCGCTCGAAGCTGCTTTCAAATTGGCCTTGTGTGGATTCCTAGTCCTACGCCTTATCATGCTTCCATATCATTTCTGATTACTTAAAACTATCATTTTGCTTTGTCTGCTACTGTCCTTCCAACAACTTTCCTGGAAAATTAAGGACTTTGGGGGGGGAGAAAAAAAAAGGTCTAAGTAGAGCTGGACAAAGACGTAGCATGAAACCGAAAGGGCCAGACAGGAGACAGAACTCAAGAGTTTCTGGAGTTCAGCGGATACAGAGGTGAAACAACTTTAGAGAGGGAAGCAGAGGCACTAAACATCTGTGTAACTGGTCCTCCAGGTTCCAGCAAGCCTTTCAGAGACACGCTTCTACGTGAGAGGCCACCTTCCGGATGCAGGCGGCCCACATCACAGAGACAACACAGCAATTCATCTTAATTTAACTCAGGGTCAAACACAGAACACGGGTGACACTGATGGGCTGGAAGCTGTTTTACCAGCGGCCGTGGGGGTCGGTCACGATGTGTGGCGGCTGTGTGACGTGGGGTGAGGGGTGGGGGG